TGAAAGAAAAAGAAAAAATGAAGCTTACTGCAAAATATACCATTGGCTTCTCTTTCTAATGCACTCCTTAGCATGACATTTGAATTAAGCACGATGCAATTTAAAGCAATCCAGTTTTCACAGGACCCAGTGGCCAATAACAACTACCATTTTCATATAGAAATATCCATTGTCTTCTTGAAGGTCAATTAAGAACAGGAAGTTTTTTATTCAGGAAAGGCCATATTCCGACTACTGAACAGGATCTATTGAGTATAGGCAATTTTCTCGTGTACCAATAAAGCTCTTTCTTCTAGGTTTCTCAGTCGTATCGTACAAAAGAAAAAAACTAGAAAAAGTAAAGATGAAAGACAGTTAAGTGTGGACTAGACTTTCTCAAATAAAGTACCCTTGTCATCTTTAAGGCAGATGATACCAATGAGAAAACGCACATTCAGTATGGGTTTTGGTTAAGTGACCACTCGATAAAGGTAAGGATAGTTCATTCATTCTTTACTTCACACATGCTTAATTTATGTTATATTCAGTCAAATTATTCCAAGACTTTGTCACCTCTCTCAAGCACCAACCTGAATGCCGAAAGGATTTTAATCAGTTGTAATAGCTTTCTAGAGAAAAGTGGTTCCTTCAACGCTGCTAAGCCGAGGAGTTCAGATGCATTCTCATCTACAACCACATTAAAGACAGAACGAATAATGAGGCAACAATGGCTTGTTTAATAGGGCATTCACATGAGAATAACAAATACAGTTTAGAATATAATAAAAATTTCAGAAGTTGCAACTCCAAAAAAACATATGCAATGAAAAAAGTGTCAGTTTCTACCATGGCAGTATTGGAAGAAAGAAATTAATGTTCAGTAAAAAAAACACACTAGGATACTATGTCATCCTACCTTTAGCAACATCGGAAGAAAGGGCTTCGGCAGCTAAAGAAAGATATGTGTCACATATCTTAGCCTTAGGATCCTCTTCCACAGGCTCTTCCCGTACATTATGGTCACTATTCAATTGGATTCTAGCAGCCTCCAATAAATGAGAGAAGAATCATTAGCAGGCCACAGCATGAATTAAGACACATTGTACTCCTAAGGAATCTTATGCCAATCGGTGTAGTCTTTGACCTCGATCTAGGACACTACTAATGCAAAAATGAATATAGTTTGCAAATGTGTATTGACTGTAGCCTAAAACATATAATCAGCTGCTTGGTAAAACATTGAAGAAACCATGAAATACAAGTAATCAATACACCATGTAAGGAGCCTGGGAATATATATATCTGAAACCAAAACTTGATACCAAATCTATAAATTGGTTTAAGATGAAATGTCTACCTGTATTGCTCCCCAGAGGCCAAGATTCACCAGACTATATATGAGATTATCATGAGTTCTTTTGAGAAGCCTTTTCATATTTAAGAGGCTCTGTATTTGATGGGTATCAATCTGCTGCTTAAGTGATGCCAAGCACTGTTCATGTCAGGAAGAAATATCAGCTCATATTTCCAGGAACAGTGAGCAAAAAGATTTATGAGACACATTAGACAACCCGCTGTTTGATGTCCTTCAGCATGTTTTCATAGATACTGGTCGATTGAGATGCTTCACTCATAGCTGACTGATAATAATATACTTTGACTATAGGAGATGAAACAAAACCATCCAGCTGAGTATTGCTTTCCACTGAGTAAACCTGTGAGATCACGGAAAAGAAAAAGGGAAATATTAGAACATTGTTCGGAAAGGCAAACTGAATGTAAGAACAATAGTATGAATGCTACCATGAGAAAGATATTTCTGCTTTAGACTTGCAGACAATACCAAATTAAAGATCGAAGCATTAGCGAGAGTTTTATTTCTACTTCGGTATCACCCAAATAAACGCAGTGTGACAGGGATTAAAATAAATTAGCTGGCATCGATCATGCCTAGGAAAAATATCTTGCATACCGAAATACCAAAAATACAAACTAGAATTTCCGCTTTTAGAGAATTACTTATGCCTTTATGTTTTTCTGTCAACAGTCAACCTCTCAATGAAAATAGGGAATTTAAGAACCAGCATACCTTGGCATTGAGCAAATTTTCAAGGCTATTTATGCTTTTCGATAAATTCTCTGATTGAAAAGACCCTGAAAGTAGGTAGAGCTGTCAAAAGCTGGACCATAAATAGAATGAATATGATCAAAGGTCGCAGCTATTATCGAGATCACGACAAACCTCACAACCGAGAGAGAAAAAAAAAACAAAAGGAAACCAATACAGGATCTAATACTCTAGCTATATACTTTCTACAGAATGTATGTTCCTCTTGCTAGGTGAAGGCTTATGACATTCACAGTTTTAAAATGATGTTAACCCAATACCTAAGAAAAACAGAAAAAGGGAAATTTAAATTATAGATAAACCTTGCCTACAAGTTTCTCTTATTCTTATTGAGAATGATTTTTAGGCCACTTCATAATGAATTATATGTACAGCAACGAGGTTGGAATCCGGAATTAACATTAGAAAAATGGGGCCTACCTTTGCCAACAACTGGAGATGCAGTCATTCCAAATATACGAGGTCGTTGTAAACCTTCTGTTTTATAGAAAACCTGCATTTGAAACATAGTGAAGCTCCTAAAAGTTGATTATATGTTAAAAATGTTTCATACACCATACACTAAGAATGTGGAGAAGGATACCCTTAAGATTTGTGCATAAGGATGGTTGCTTTGTTCTTGAGCATGGTGACACTCATCCAATATTAGAAGGGAAATACACTCCATCCTGATGAAACAGTGCTGTAAGTTATGCAGAAGTATCTGTGGGGTCATAACTAGAACCTGAAAGATGATCGAATAGGTCAAACCAATAGTTCCCACATAAAATGTAAAAATGGAAATAAACAAACAACTTAATGAGAGTATAAACAAACAACTTAATGAGAGTTATAGGGCTAAAAGGACAGAAAGAAAATCAGAAAACAGGGAAATCACCTCATTCTCTAAAACCTCTCTCTCCCAGTCGGAATGGCTATTCACAGTCCGATTGCCGCCACAATGTATCGCAACTTTAAAGTTGATAGACTTTGCTATGACTTGGGCTTGCTGTAAGAAACAACAAAAGAGAGTTAACATGTAAACTTGAAGAAAGAAAATCAATCCACAAAAATCAACTCCATTGAACACTGATGTAATCAAGAGGAACATCCTCTCACCTGTTCAACCAAAGCCACAGTGGGAGCAAGAAATATACAAACACTTTTCTTAGGGCTAAGAATCAAGTGCCCAAGCTCATATATAACCATCACCGCAATGTGAGTCTTCCCACAACCTGTTCCCAAATACACGATAATGTTCTCTTCCATTGCTTTCTTGCACAGCTCCAGCTGATACCTTCAGAAATCAAAGAAAATCGTTTAGCCCTCAAAAAGAGTTTCAACACAATCAACAAGAAAAACTCGTTTGAGAATTTCCGCTTTTCTTCTGTAACCAAGACGATCCGATCAACTTTTTTCAGATTGCATGTTAATCTAACAATCCGATAAACTTACTCATCTACAAACTTGCAGCTGTAACAGATATATCAACAGAATCTGAAAAATCACTAGCCAAATACGAAACTGTACGGAAACAGAATCGCGGAAGCAAGCAAACTGAAGAAAATTTAAGCTGTGAAGATGTAGAGAACGACGAGAAAAAAACGAAAATCGAACCTCCTGGCAATTTTTCTAGGGTCTTTCTCCAATTTGGCTGAGTGATCATCCGTACAAGCGCCAAAATCAACCCCAGGCGCCGAGTAGGAAGAAGAGAAAGAAGAAGAGGAAGGAGAAGTAGCAAAGGAAGAAGAAAGAGACGAGGAAGAAGAAGAGAGTTGAGTTTCGGAAGCGTCTGCATCACAGTCGAGTGAGCAGAAATCGTCGCCGATTTCAGCGTCCGGCATGATGGTCAAAGAAGAAGGAAGAAAACTTGTGACTGGCAAGGATGAGAATTGGCTGCTTTTTGCTTTGTCCCATTGCTTTTGCATTGCCTCCCAAACGAGGTAATTTCTTTTTCTTTTCATTTTATATTTCTTTCCTTTTTTTTCTCTCTCTGGTCAAGCTATGGTCAACTGCTCACACATCATCATTCACGCTCGCACGTCTCCCTTAAAATGATGAGAAAGATAAATTTCCATAGATAAATTACACATTAATAAGCCGACAAAATAAAGTTACACATTAATAGCCTTTTTAAAGCCCAATAAAGTAATAAATAAAGTCGATTACGATTAGAAGGGTTTATGGAATCGAGATTTATTTTGGTTGATATTGAAAGTTGAGGTTCTAAATGACGGTTTAGTTGACAGAAGAATGCATGTTGACAACACAAAAAATGTTATCAACATGTTATCTATGTACTTTTTAAGACTGCTGAGAAATAGATGTATATCAAAATTTGTAGGCATAGATATTAAAAAAAAAAAAAACTAAGGATGTTAAAAATGGGTAAAATTAATTAGTCCAATCCGAGCTTAGAAAACCCTTCTATTCTATGTTTGAATCCAAAAAAAGAAAGTAAATCCAATCAAACCCCGTCTATATACATGCATGTATTAATTTTCGAGATTATACATGATTATATCAAATATATTCATGTATATTTAGATATTTTCCTTCTAGATAACAGAATGTAACCTATATTTATTTTCAGTACATATGAATAGTAAGATTCGGTTAATCAAAAAATGGAAAAGGAAAAAATGTATAACTAGTTAATAAGGAAAAACACCAAATTTGCAATTAGATCGACGGCTAAGTTCACAACGAAAACAAAAATAAAAGAATTTTACTATTTTACTGATACCAATAAAACTGGAAATAGATCTCAGCTACGCGCATATATTTAGTCATTTCGCGATATATTCTGCAACGAAACAAAAAAGGAGAGAAAAAACAAGTTTGGTTCTTTCTTCTTTGTTCTTTAGTTAGGCAAATACGATCTTGTGATCATATTACTTTTGCAGACAAAAGTTTCGTTATGCACTATTCTCCTAAGAAGCACTTGTTTTCGTTCTTCCTCCTTTATATTGTGATGACGTTAAACAACAACAATAGTGGCTTCGTAGCCGCAACAAATAACATTGGCTTGAACTACGGTCTCCTCGGAGATAACCTCCCGTCTCCACCCGAAGTTATCAACCTTTACAAGTCCATAGGCATTACCAAAATCCGAATCTTCGACCCCAACACTGATGTTCTCAACGCCTTACGCGGCCACACCGATATTGCCGTCACTGTAGGCGTTAAAGACCAAGACTTGGCTGCTCTTGCAGCCAGCGAAGAAGCTGTTAAAGCCTGGTTCGCGACCAACATCGAGCCTTACTTAGCCGACGCTAACATAGCCTTCATTACCGTCGGTAACGAAGTCATCCCTGGACCGATCGGTCCTCAAGTGCTTCCCGTCATGCAGTCTCTCACCAGCCTCGTCAAGTCAAGGAATCTTCCGATCTCGATAAGCACCGTCGTGGCTATGTCAAACCTCGGACAATCATACCCACCTTCTGCGTCAATGTTCACGTCCCAAGCGAGTGAACAACTCACACCGGTGCTCAAGTTCTTGTCTCAAACAAACACGCCAATCCTCGTCAACATCTACCCTTACTTCCCTTACGCATCCGACCCAATGAACATCCGTCTCGACTATGCAATATTCAACAACGAGGCCGTGGTGTTACAAGATGGACCATTGGGATATTCAAACATGTTTGATGCAATGTTTGACTCGTTCGTGTGGGCGATGGAGAAGGAAGGCGTGAGTGATTTACCGATGGTGGTGTCTGAGACCGGATGGCCATCCGCCGGGAACGGAGACTTGACCACGCCGGATATCGCGGCTACTTATAACGGAAATTTTGTGAAGCATGTAGTGAGCGGAAGAGGGACGCCTAAGAGGCCTAACAATGGTGTCCAAGGGTTTTTATTCGCAACGTTCAATGAAAATCAGAAGCCACCAGGGACTGAACAAAATTTTGGTTTGTATAATCCTAGTGATATGCAGCCTATCTACAAGCTGTTTTGAGTGTGAAAGTTTCTTAAGACTTTCCCGATTCACTATTAAAAATGCTCTACTTGTACTTGTTAGCGAATTAAATTAAGAGTTTCCACAATTTTTAACTCATGTTATAAGCTAAAATATTGATTTCTATGAGAAGGTGAGATCTAATTGACTTTGTATTTAAATCTACTTTCTTCGGTCTAGTGAACGTACACTGTTTCTTCATCAATCCAATACAGAGTATGCCATATATATGCATTTCATCCGTGTTGTCTGTGCAATTGGTGTATTGTCTAGAGTTTTGTTTCCAATCTAATAATTTGTAATAAAAAAAAAAATTTGTAATATTGAATTTGATGGTTGACATAAGCATTAAAATAAAATCAATCTGAGACCATGAAACTTACATGAGAGAAAATAAAATCTTACACTGTTGCTTTTTTTTCACTAGAGACAGACAATCCCGCTATATTTTTCCCAAAAATTATGCTCAGTTTATAGAGTGATGTTTGTTTCTTGTAGTAAAGATTTATGTAATCGTTATCTTTCATTGATTATATTTTTCACTTCATGATATTCATTTCCTTTTTTTCCACTCATTCCATTGAATATAGTATATTACCAGTCCGGTAAAAAATTCACATTACGTACAAAAAGGTGATGATGGATTGCATTTGGTTTTGTTTTTTTTTTTGACATGGTTAGATTACAATGAACGGTGAGATCTGAGGGGACTGACTCTGACCGGTCTTGATTTTTTGGTTTCATTTCCTCCGAGTCAACAGCCATCGTAAGATCAATCATTCTTCTTCCTCTTGATTCTCCCAGAAAAACCCTATCACGTACGCACCCTCTCTCATTTTCCCCCAAATCTCACGATTAGTTTATGCCAAGGTGGGTGAGGGGAGAATAATCTTCAAGGTCAACCCATGAAAGCTTAAAAGGTCTTCGAATCCTCTCACACCCACACAATCGCGATCGATCTTGTAGAATCTGGTGGAGGCCGAGAAAAAGAAAATGTCGTCGGAGATTGAGGTGGTGGAGGAAGTCCAATCGAATCCCAAGGAGAACGGGGAATCGAGCTCTAAAGGGATTGAAGACGAGAGTTTGAAGAACGATGTGTATACTGCGGCGGCTTATGGTGATTTGGAGAAGCTTCATAGATTGGTCGAGTGTGAGGGTTGCTCTGTTTCTGAGCCCGATGGCCTTGGCTACTATGCTCTTCAGTGGTCCGCCTTGAACAACCGCACCGCCGTTGCCCAGTACATTATCGAGGTTACAACGCTCAATCCTTTTTGTTTTGTATTTTCCAATCTGAGATTTTATGCTTTTAGCTCGTGAAGATTCCAACGGATTGTTCAACATATTGTTTGTTGATGGTCAGGAGGCTCTGTTTACTTTCCCATGCTAGCTTCTTTGTTTCCATTGTATTTCTTCTGTTCGGCGTGTGAATCGTTTGAAATGATTGTTGGTTTTGAACTGAAATTGATCCATCTCGATTCGGGTTTTCCAGCATGGTGGAGATATCAACGCGACGGATCATACTGGACAGACTGCGTTGCATTGGAGTGCAGTGCGTGGTGCGATACAAGTTGCAGAACTCTTACTACAAGAGGGTGCAAGGGTGGATGCAACAGATATGTATGGATATCAGGTTCAACTCCTCTTTAACTACTTTATGAATTTAAAAGAGATTGTGTTTTGTTTCAATGCTAGTAAACTTCTATTTTGCACATTGCTTCGGGCTGGGGCTCAGGTTCTATAACTAGTATTGCGTGTCATGCTGTGGTTGCATTTTTTAAGTTCGATGAATGTGTTCTGGGGTTCATGTAGGTAAATCAGCATTTCGTACTTTGCCGCTTGTTTCAGTTAGGGTATGTTCAACCAACATTGGCTTGTCCTTGGAAAATTAGTTTACTTGTCTTGGAACGAAATTGAGCAGTCTCATGACCCGTTATTCAAAGCTTTATCTAAAATAGAGAGAACTTTCATATTGTCTGGATTAATCAGCTTTTAGAATGTTAATATCGATTTCATTCAAAAATAATCTGTAGAGACCTTGTCCCTGCTATCTTCGTTGGTTTAGGAGGTTAAAAAATCGAGGTCTTCTTATTCTCAAAATTTCTTAGTAAAGCTCAGATTACGCGTTAAAGTTCTCTGCTGGATCCTATCAAATTTCCCTTCTCTTGTTTAGTTCTCAATGGATGCATGTTAACAGCCATCTTAAACTGTTTGTAGCCAACACATGTTGCAGCACAGTATGGCCAGACTGCTTTTCTCTGTCACGTCGTCTCAAAGTGGAATGCTGATCCTGATGTTCCCGATAATGATGGAAGAAGCCCCTTGCACTGGTAAGGTTGCCGCAAAGTGGAACACAAGCTTGCCTTCTTGAAATTGTTACTTAGTTAATGGTTTTTGGCTTCTTTTCATATTACTTCATGATGCTTAGTTTTGCATGGATATTTGATTTTATTTGTTTTCTTTGCATATCGTTCTTCTAGGCTGTCCTAGTTGGCAAATTTTCTATTTGCTGGTTGTCGAGTATTTTTTATTTTGTTATGAAGATCTCCGAAATATGTATTTCTGTTTCGACCTTGAGACTAAAATTGTGTTGTTAATTTTTACCTCGTAGTTCTACTGAAAATTTTTTATTGTTGGATGCATTATTCGGCTGCATGGTTTCAAGCTTGCTTATGGTGACCTCCAAATTATATCAATATTTTTCAGTATGTATTCTGGAGACAGCTCTAACTGTCTTTCTTTCCTTCTCATGTTTTGAGAAATTCAGGGCTGCATATAAAGGTTTTGCAGATTCCATTCGCCTTCTTTTATTTCTAGACGCATATAGAGGACGGCAGGACAAAGAAGGTGGTTTAGAAACATAATTTTTCTGTGAAATCCTCTTTGTCTATATAGTTGGATTAGAAAATAAAATATTTATTTAGTCTTTTCTCCATTCTCCATTCTATTGATTCTTTTATCAGGTTGCACTCCTTTGCACTGGGCGGCAATTAGAGGTAATTTGGAGGCTTGCACTGTCTTGGTGCAGGCTGGGAAGAAAGAGGATTTGATGATTACTGACAATACCGGGCTTACGCCCGCACAACTTGCTGCTGAAAAGAATCACCGACAAGTTTCTTTTTTCCTTGTAGGTATTCGTTTCACATTTTCACATTTTCTGTAGCAATTTTTTGTTAGACTGTTTAGTTGATGCTTTCGTAGTGGCTGCTACTTCTAGCAATATATGGTAGTTGAATCATTCTACTGGCCTGATGTTTGTTGGCAATCATGTGCATCACATTAGATCTTTGCTGGAAACAAATTACTGTTGCTAAACTCTACTTGTAGCTGCACCATGTCAGTTTCTTCAAACTTGTAATTTTTTGATATATATTTAAAATGAACAGCATCATGCTTTGAAATTTTGAGAAATTTATTCCATATATTCTCTCTTAATATCTGTCTGATAACACTTCATTGCAGGGTAATGCTAGAAGGCTGCTTGAAAAGCGGTGTGACGGAAGCAGTCCCCTTGGAAGATTGTCAAAGTTGGGACTTGCTCCAGTTCTTTGGTTCATGATCCTGCTGCTTCTACTCATATATACTAATTCTGTTATTTTGGGTACGTAACTTGGTCTTCTTGAATCTCTTTTGGGTGCAACATATCAAGTAACTAGTCTATGCATGCTTGCTTATTAGTTTATGAACCCTTCGTAATGCAGCATCCAATCTGCCAAAGCTAACAACTGGGATCGGTGCGCTTGCATGGCTGGGATTCCTTCTTGCAACTGCAGGACTATTTTTGTTTTATCGTTGTAGCAAGTATATCCTCTATCTTACTTCAATGTCATCTAAAGCCTTTACTTCAATTGTGAATTTCTTGTTTTTCTGTGTAGTAGTACAAAAATACCTTTGTATCGAAAGAAGTGGGTTTTCTTATCGTTTTACAATATACATATGTTTTTGCAGAAAGGATCCAGGTTACATCAGAATGAACATCCACGATCCGCAGACCATGAAAGATGATGTTGGTACCATTAACTTTATTGGTTCTCAAGTTTAAGTGACGTAATTGTCCATATTTTATAATTAGAGATAATCTCGAGTAGTTATTTTCTGTTTAAGTGTCATTACTGTTTTTCTTACCCCTTAACAGGAACCACTGTTGAAAATAGAGCTAAACAACCCTGCTTTGCTTGCTGGGAATTGGACGCAGCTCTGTGCAACGTGCAAGGTATCTCCTCAACTTCCCTTTAATGTCTTTATTAATATCAACACTAAATATCTAACCATTGATGCTCCGCCATGCACATCATAAAATTTACTTCTTAACGCCTACTTTGTTTTTTTTTGTTCAGATTATTCGACCTCTTCGAGCTAAGCATTGTTCCACCTGTGATCGTTGTGTAGAGCAATTTGATCACCATTGTCCTTGGGTATCAAACTGTGTTGGAAAAGTAAGTACAGTTTCCATCGTCCATATTAGTTGGGAAAATATAAGTTGATTAGATAGTAGAGAAAATATCAGGCTTTTTGATACTAAAATGTCCCTTATTCTTCCTAGTTTCTTTTGATTTGACATAAATTACTGTTCTTTCTCAGAGATGTTTAAGACGATTTTAATGTTTTAAGTGGTATATTTGGGCATAGAAATCAACAGAGATGTTTCTTGGTGTCGCATTATCTCTTTTATTTATTTTGATCCCTAGTGGTTTGATCTCTTAGATTTGCAGCTCGAGCATGATACTAACATGTGGATCGGTTTGTTTTTCACTACTCACTTTTGCAGAAAAACAAGTGGGACTTTTTTCTTTTTCTTCTACTTGAAGTTTTAGCGATGCTAATAACTGGTGGCGTCACTCTTGCAAGTATGTTTGTAGTGGAAAGATGCTTTTTAAAGCTTATCCTGATATGTAAATCTGGAGAAAATTTTCAGACAAAAATGTAAACGATGTATTATATCCATGCAGGAGTCTTGAGTGACCCTTTAGCTCCATCTTCGTTTGGAGCATGGATGAGCCATGTCGCTAGTAATCATGTGGGCGCATTATCCTTTCTTCTTGTTGAATTCTGCCTCTTCTTTTCAGTCGCCGTCTTAACAGTCATACAGGGGTCTCAGGTGAGTCCGCATTCCTTTTTTTCCTATTTGCGCGTCTTTGTATCTCTTGTGATCTAAATGGTACAGAGACTGTCCCCCGGATTAATCATCTCTACGTTAGCTTCAGTGGAGGAGCTAGAACTCACGAAGTAGACCAGAGAGGATTAATCTAATTTCATGATGGGATGTTTTTCTTTATCCAATTTGAAGATCATCTGTCTCTTTTTCCCTTTGCAGATATCGAGGAATATAACCACAAATGAAATGGCTAATGCACTGCGCTACAGCTACCTAAGAGGTCCAGGTGGTCGCTTCAGGAATCCTTATGATCTAGGTTGCAGAAGAAACTGCTCGGACTTCTTGGTGAAAGGTTATAACGAAGATATTGAGTGTCATGAAGAAGACACAACACCGAGACAAGAGGGTATTAGCATGATGCAGATGCAGCGGAGTTCTAATATTCAAAATGGCAATGGCCATGTTGCTATCGATGTTAACCCGATACATAATTCGCAGTCACATGTTCATTCTTCAAACTGCAGCCATAGCCATAGCAGTAAGTCAAAGAGTGATAGTGTTCCTTTGGGTTTGGGACTTGGTCTTGGTCGGAACACAACCCGACCTGTTGTACCTCCATGATATTGTCGTGTCCCAAATGTTCTTCAGATGTGCATTTGTGTTGTAAGAACCACGTGTCCTCTCGTCGGGTCATGATAACATATCCCATTTCAGGTGAAGATAGTATTTTAACAGAAATGGTTGTACGTTATGTTTTCTGAGTTGAGGTATGGTAAGTTTGAATCCATAGAGTTTGATAATCCTTGTCTTTTTCAAATCATAACCAAATGGAAATTAATCGTCACAAACACAGCAATACAGATTATATATGTAACAACGGATTACAAGAGAATGACTGACTATCTCAACTCTCAATCCTATCTCAATTCTCAATCAAATGCCTCTGCACCAAAATCTTGTGGAAGTCCCAAAAAAGGAAAAAGAAAGAATGTTGGTGTGTGTATGAATGTTTCACGCCAAGTGAAATCTGAGTCAGGACCAACGAATAAAGTCACAACTCACCCGGTGACAGAAACTGCAAGATATTTGCTTCACTACTCGCCAAATCAATTGTATGAATGTTACACAAACAAAATAGCACATATATGTGTATATATGTTTCTTTCTGACTACAAAAATCTGAATCTGAAATCCTCCTGTACCACAAACCAAAACCTGCAAAGAGACATCTTTGTGGTTAGATCCTGAATGTGAATCAACTGTAGCAATTGGTAAAATAATAGTTAGGTGAATGACAGAGCATACGATGTTGTTGTACAATGCAACGGACAAAGCATAATTTGGTCCGATTAAGTTCTTTCAACATCTTGATCACCAATGCACATAATCATAGAGGTAAGAGGCTTAGACTCAACAGTGGCCAATAACATTCTTAGTTCTTTTCAACCTATTGCCAGAAATTCTTTTCCAGATTCCAAATTAGCACGAAATATACTTAAGTACTATTGCAAATAACAGATTCCAGATTTCTGTGATCATACGTTGAACTTCCAAAGAAAGAAAGGAACTTAACAAAAAAGTGAATGTTGTAAAATTAATGAAGTAAAGTTGTAATATGGTGATCAATGAAGTTACTACCTATTTCCTTTCCGGAGTAAAAAAAAAAACTTTAGCCTGTTTGAGATTTATATCTCTATACAGAGCAACAATTCCGTGATAATGTTATATATGTACCTTGAAATGAAGCTTGATCAAGATAATGACCAAAGTCTTTGTGTGCCACTTTATCATGGAAAATCCCTTTAACCACATTAGATTCCTGTATTTGACACATGAAAAATATTCCCAGTCCTCCTCTTTAATATCTTCTCAAGCTGGTCTGACGGGATCACATTTCGCCATCGTTTTGCTTCGTTTATCTCATCAAATATCTGTATTATCTCTTCCATGTGAAACCTTAGATCTGCCATAATGAAAAAAGTATCATATTGAATATCATGACTCATGTTTTTCAAACTCGATAAAAAGCTAAATCACGCCGTACCTCGTAAAGTATTGTCTGCCACCAAATCATCACTTATCACCGCAGCAACATCCTCACAAGCTCCAGTTAACTCAAATATCTCCATTGCAGCATCCAAATTCCCCTGCCATGTTGGTAGGTCAAGTTTGAACTCCATGATTGATCGCTCATAAAGTACAGCACATAATAAAACATCTAGCCAAGACTTTAACTTTGCTTCATCTGCTGGGTTGTCTTGAGTTGAGCTACCATGTACTTTCGATTCCAGATTTTTCAGCCCCATTGACTTTTTGATATTGCTTTCGGCGCTTTGATAGAGCTGTACTACAGCTGTATATGGCCATGTTTTCAAATCAATGTGACCGACAAGTACATAATACCATGAGAGTCTTGCTTCCTCAAACTGCTGGAGACCTAGCGCCAGAGAGACTTCAAACAAATCCGGTTTTATTTTCATGGCCTCTTCGTACTTTTCTTTTGCTTTTGCGTGCTCCTTTTGAGCGCATTCATAAGCAGTTTTAACCTGTTCAAGAATGGATTCTCCCGAAACACCTCGTAGGAGGCTCAACCTTTTCCTTGCTCCTGACATGTGCACATTTCCTAACTTTAACAATGATCGTGCTGCTACTTCTTGGAATTGCTGAGCTGCTCTGTCAAAATGCCCTTGAGCTTCATCAGAGGTTACCACCTCTTCCATAGCTTCTGAATTCAGTTTCATACCAAGTTCTTGAAGATTCAGGCATTTATCAGACTCAACTTTAGCCTGAATTTTGAATAACCGAGCAAATTCAATCATCCAGTCTTCAATTTTACACGTACCTCGTCCATTTACCTTTGCTTTAAAAGAATCAGCGGTTATCTTGAGCTTTTTCATCTCAACTAGTCTTCCAAAAAAGGGATCCTGCTCAGGACTAACTTCCACTACATAGAACCTCATACTCATAGTGTCCAGTGGCCTTGCTGACACCTCACTCATTCTTAGCTCTTCATCTGTTGTGATTGTCACTAAATCTCCTTCTTGGTCCTTGTACTTTATATGAACTGCCCTTAAGCTCGGGAAACGCTCATGAACAACTTCCCTAAGCTGAAAGAGAGTGCAATTTAGAGGCAATTCAGCCAATCTAATGTCGTCAGAATACACAAATTTCACAGCTTTCTTTACATCTCCGATACTTTTATCCTCAATTATCACTTTCTCCTGTTCCTTGCTCGTAACACTTCTCTTATCCGACTGTTGTTTCCCTTTCACTTTCTTTTTGCTCTGCTTATCGATAGTCTTTTCCTTTCCTTTTTCAGCTGCAAGATTGCTATTCTTCTTCTTCTCTGTCTCTGCATTATCACCATCACCCTTCTCTTGCACTTGATTGCTCCTTTTCTTTTTCTTCGCTTGTGCCTTGCCTTCTTCAGCCCACAGTGCAGGGGAAACCTCAACAGGTTCAACGTAATCTGGAGGCAGCTCTATCACTGAATCTTTCACTCTTAACCCTTTGCTCTCTAAAGTTTTCTTAAGCTTCTCGGTAATCTCGGATGCCATGGGGTTCTTTGGATCCAATTTCGAAACCATACAAACATCTTTTAATGCCAAATCTAACTTATTCAAGGCCTCATAGCATCTTGCCCTCTTCAGCAATGCTTTGGTATGGTCAGGTGTGATACTAAGAGCTAAATCGCACTCATGGATTGCTTTTTCATACTCTCCCGGATCCGATTGCATATAACATGAAGCCATATTAGCCCGAATATGAGAAACCTCTACATGATCCTTGGGAAGTATTTTGATTGCTTCTCCATATTTAAGCATTGCACCATCATAATCTCTCTTCTGAAACATCTTGTTACCTTCTTCCTTCAATCCTTGTGCCTTTGAAACGAAATCTACAGATTCAACCTTGGAATCTCCCTGCTTAAAACCATCCACTTGACTTTGGCTTGTTTCGGGTTCTAACTTTCCCTTTAGCTTCTCCATGGAAATTTCTCAGAAGAACAAGAGAAGATTCCAAAATATTGAGAAGGAAGAGAATCAGCAACTATTGAATCAAGCGGAAAGCTGTAGAAATCAAGATACCCTTTACCAAAGATTACTACTTGAAACCGCACATGAGATTCTCTATGTCGAATTTCATGTGAGCTTCGGTAAAGAAACTAAAGACAGCTAATTTCACAGGTCTGGCAATGGAACAGTGGATACCCAAAAGAAAGGAGATATACTACAATAATAAGTTTATAATTTGGATTACAGAGAGAACACGAAATGTGTCTACCTCTTTGAATCGAGATCCTTAATCGCAAAAGAAATGGCAATTTCCCGAGCTGTGTCTTTTGAAACGAAATTTTCTCGGGAAAGAGGTTTGAAAATTTCCGGGAAAGAGATGGGGAGGAAGAAGAAGCGGTGGAAAGAGGATGAAGGAAGAAGAAGAAGATTAAGAGACCATGTGGCTCTGTACATCTGTAATGAGATATCTTTGTCTAAAAGCCACGACAAAGCCTGTAATGGTAGAGCCAACATTATAAAAATATTTATATATATATATATATATCTTATTAAAATTAGAGAAATGGGAAAGGGAAGAAGAAAGAACCAAATGACGTCAGTAAAAAAGAAAGAAACTCGATAATCGGATTTAGCAAAAGAAAATAAAATAATCGAATCGAATCCCACTTTGTAACACGTGTCGAATCTGAACTTTTCCAGCGAAATTACTTTGGGAATTTTAGTCAGTGCGCTTTATTTCCGTGAAAGACTTACGGGTGTGTTTATACTTTATACAGTATGTGTTTGATTCAGGTATGTTAAGACTTTAAACCAACCAATTCATGTACTGTATCCTAATATTTCATTCGATTTTAATGGTCAGTGATTGTAGAAGATACAATTATCTTTACAAAATAAAATTCTTATCTTAAAGAAGATTTATAATGTGTTTCTCTTAACTGGAAACATAAATAACTTAACAAAATTCATGATATTTCAGCAGATTCATAATGTGGTTTACTGGTTTAATAGATCCAAATTCAAGTTTTCTCATGTGATTCTAATCATAATTTGATAATTATAAGTACATTTAAGTGATAAAATTTTCCACAAGTTTTGGGGTTGATCCTCTTGATTAAAGAAAAATAGGTGTAGTTTGGATTTGTATTCAAGTCATTTTTTTTTTCATGAGTTTGAATTAGTCGAATATTGGTTCTCTTTTTTTAAAATGAGTCATGTAAACCTATACAAAACTCAGTTTATAAAGCAAACATGAGCTCATACCAACTACCAGTCTACCATAATGATACTCCCACGTCCACCATAACCAATCAAATCTCATAGCACCTTGCACTCTTCAACAATGCTTTGTCATGGTCATGAGTGATACTAAGTGCTGCATGCATGGATTGCTTTCGAATAATCTCTCATATCCAATTCCATATAATATGTGATATTGTTTTACCATGTATTGAGATTTCTACTTGTCAAGCTAACAACTTCTATTGTTTTAGGCATGGTCTAGATTTAAGTTTTGGCATCTGTTGTTTTGTAGAAGTGATATTAGTTCTCCTTTTCCTATGGCGATTAGCTGCTCCGTCATTGCAGCTTGGAGAGCTGATCCTGGACACTGTGGGATGGATTGGTGTTTCTAGGATCCAAGTAACTTTTTCTAATTTCAAAAATCAGCAAATGGTAGCAGCAAGGCAGCTGATTCAATAGCCGAGTGCATAGCTTTGATCAAACCCGCAATATTCTATTCTTATCTCAAATTTTCAGCAAACTGTAACATCATTGATTAAATAGTCAAGTACTCAAGTCCATGGCTTTCGAATGTGCACTCATAGAAGCTTTCATGCTTAGGGGTTTCCAAATCTTCATCTTATATTCTTAGTTCTATTAAAAGGGTCAATGAACGCAGCTAGATTTCTAAAAGTAAATGTTAAATCTTAGTTTATTTTGTTTGTGTTCCTCGATCAGCTATTGTTGCGGTAGGTTCGTTGGCTTTTGTAGCTTTGAACAAATCCTCCTTGTTTGGAAAGTATGATTTATACAATAAGCTTGTTTGACCCAAAACATAAAAATACTTCTACCCTTAGTCATGTATGATGCAATGGACATGGCTAATGTATTCCCAAGTCCCAAATTCCAACAAAGCTATAAAGTCTTATCATAATGCGTGTTGTGACAATGAGAATAAAATACACTCTAGATTAAGCTTGGCATCATCCTTTTGTAAGATATTTAATTTGGGATAAAGTTTCCGGTTTATTAGTCGGCTCTCGTAAGATATTTGGTTATTATAATATCATATGTTAATTGGAAAAAACAAAAAACTTGGCATCATCATCGATTCTCTCAAGAATATTTTTCTTTCTTATTCTCTGTATAGAGGGATGTGCAACAAGATCTGCATCACCCTCAATAGTGGAAAAAGAGGAAAAACATTCTTCACGTTATATATAATTCTTATTATTATTCTGTCTCTTATTGTAGAAACAAAAAAGTGGAAACTAAACATGTTTAGTTAAGCTCATAGTTTCAGCGAATTTGTTTAGAGACCATCTCCAGAATTTATGACTCCTAATTACATCAAGATCAGCACTAGTAAGTAAAGTTTCTAATGAAAATTAAGAAAACAGAACTAAAACAGAGTCATAGCTAGCTACTGATGTTATCGTTAAATCTACACAAAGTACTGCGCGAAGGAAAAAACCAAAAAAACATAATTCCTTCTTACGCAAGAAAAACCTAAAATACGAACAAAAACCTAGATTTCAATCTTGATCTTTATGCAAGGCGTAAAAGCGGCTAGGTCGTGGCCGGAACTCATTACGGCGGCGGGTATGGAGAGAAGAATTAGGCTTAACCATAGTCGCCGCTAAAGATTTCCTAAATCGCTCCGCCTCAACGCTTCCGATCTTCGCGAGCGAATTCACCAACGCCGCTTTTCTCAGATTCAATGCCGAATTCCTCGTCGTGTTACCGCATGTGTTTCGCTTCGCCGACGAAGAACCTAGGGTTCCGTTCTTCTCGTTTTCCAATCGGCGGTGAAAAGAGCACCGGAAAGATCCGGGGTGCGTCGTGGGAGAGCATAAACACTTAATCTTCTGACTGGAAACGGCGACGGAGGGTTTCGGGGTGTTCGCCGGAGAAACCCTCTTTAAACAGAGGTTGAGATTGCAAGGAGACGCGGATCGTTGATGATGATGATCATGATTGTGGTTGTGATTGTGACTGTGATTGAGTAATCTGTGAGAAGAAGAAGAGAGAGGGCGTAGAACTGATGAAGCGCTTGATCTTCCAGTAGCCGCCATGACTGCAGTAGAGAGAGAAAATATTGAAAGAAACCGATTAAAGAGAGAGAGAGAGAGAGATTTTGTTTTGGTAATTTTAATTAAATGGGTTCTGTTGAAGATTCACCGATTCCGTTTGATTCGCATCTATATATGGAGGTTACGCAGATCTCTCTGGCGGTTGCAAATCGTGTCGAGGGTTACAATTGTAAATTTTAATTAGACGCTGAATTGTTAATTTTCCTTCTTTTTTTTCTTGCAGTGCACGCTTTAATTTTCCTTTTTTCCTATAAGTAAAAAATGAAAATTAACAAATAAACCAGAGTCTGTACCAAATTGGATTATGGGAAAACCAGAGTCAATCCTTTAATATACGTCCAATATTATTCAAAATTTCGTATTTCCAATTTAGTTAGTATGAAATTTTGCTTCTTACCCGAAGAAATCCTAATTAATATTTTCGATTTCGCCCAATAGCCTCCATAAAAGGATTTCATGTGTTTTTTGGCCAATATTTTATTTTCGCTAACCGGGACAAATTAAACCAAAAATAATACTTAAACCGGAATGCCTCGATATTATTTACCGAGGCTGTAGAATAATCAATCTCAGAAGACATAACACATAAGAGAGGCATACGCATTTTACCATTTTGTTTTTGGGACAGAGCACACGGATTGCCATAAATACAGATCTTCGTATATAAGTTACATTTGCAACTATGCCAATAACCAGGATAGGGCAGTGAACAAAATTACCACTGCTCTCTTTTCTTTAATTTTTTGCTTTGACAACCAAAAAAAAATCTGACCATTTACTTTTAGGGACCTATACATGACCAAAGTCTCCATCTTTTTTGATGCGTCAAATAAAAGGAAGAGCAAAACTTATGAGTCATCCTTAGTGAACTTCTGAGGCTTACTGCTTGCAAATGCCAACCATACCACTGTCCCCGTCAAGTAGAAGAATATTGATGGCGCGAATAAAGACATCTACACGATAATCACAACTTTTGAGTTAACTACATACATTAACTAAAAAAACTGAACGTAATTGGAGGTAATGTTAGCAACTTACAGTCCAGGAATGGGTCGAGTCGAGGAGAAAACCAGTTAGGGCCACACCTATGATTCCAGGTACTGCCCCCACTGTGTTGGTAATACCCTGCAACAAAAAGGATTCCATGACATGCTTAGCGGGAAGCTATGTTTTCATAGTCAAAATCTAATTGCATAACTCAATCTAAGAAAAAACTCTCCTTTGGTTTCAGTTTTACCCAAGAAAAAGTCTCTACCTAATGATAGCTCACATATCTCAAGAGAATTAGAGAAATGGAAACTAAGAAGGGTTTAGATGGCATTATATTGTCTAAGTATGAGAACAACATGTACCAGAAGTATGCTTGCATATTCGGGTGAGATGTCCTGATGAGTACAATAAAGTCCTGTAAAAAGGAACACAGTGTTAGTTACTTTGGTACAATAAACTTCTTCGGGTGGTCTTCTCTATATAATGTCACTTGAAGATTCTTGATGGAATATATAAAAATAGAAGATCTCCAGTTACCTGATAAAGCAAAACTTGACAGGGCCAAGCCTGCTGTCAAGATTCCTGCAATTTCCCATGGTGGCAATCCAATGTCCACAGATGAAAGTGTCATGCAGATCGCTGGTGCCAAGAATGCAATCGTTTGACAAATCTTTCGTACCTACATGGAAAATTCCCAAGGAGTTTTATTAAGACCCTTTTGATTTGTACACGAGGAAAAGGGAAGTGATTTTATACCGTGGTAGTCTCAACTCCATTTGAAATTAAGTAGTCGGCAAATTGTGAAGCAAGACTTGTCACAAAAATTGAAGCCAGTGGAGGAAGGATGGAAACCTGATCTTCATATTCACACATTAAATTCAAATGTTATACCTTTGCAAAACATCTCTCAAAGTAACTGAGTATGCATATGTAAGAAAAGTCATTTTAAGCATTTCATAACACTACTGCTTAGTAACAGAGATCAATAAAAGCTCTCTTGTTTCTGTTTCCAAGTAACTCGAGCTCAAAGGGAAAATATTGACTTCAATATGTATTGTCTACCAAGTAGGCGAAATCTTACGTGATATGTTTTGAGTACTAAGAAACTTTTGTTAAATGCAAGGCATAACACAGGCTGAATGTCACTTCATAGAAAAATGCAAGCTGAAACTTCCAATATCCAGGGAAAACACAAAATAAAAAACAGTTCTACACTTACCCAAGCAGCATCTCTCAAATTTAGACTCAGTGCCTCACTGCATACCGAAAATACGATCAAACATTTAGTTTCTTCATCAACAAAGATACAGAGCCAAAGAGACAGAATACTAATATAACCATATTGCACAGTTAAGTGGAACATGGTGAACAGGTAGAAAAGTGAATACCTGAAATAAGTTGGTAGCCAAGATAAACAGGTATAGTGACCCCAACTTCCACAAAAGTGAGTGTATATCATTGCCCAAACAGCTGGGCTTTGGAAAAACGACTTCCATGGAATCTCCTGTAGTAAGAATCGGAAAGACGAAGCACTGACTTTAAAGCAAATGAAAAGGTTGGGTTTCAAAACCAGTTGTTTGTTGGCAATTTTGTCACAGTTTAAGGGGACATATCTTAATCATCAAGTGAGTGAAATACATACGAACAAAAACAAATAGTCCGAAGACAGGATGCAGTTCTCTGAATTTGTTGTTGTTTTTACTCGCCAACAGTCATGGATTAAGATAGAACATAATTATGCAGTTCTCTTATTTATAGTTATTTCAACTAAATATTGACTGGAGAAACGATTTGGCTGACAATGTGAATTAGCGCTAATTCAACGTCTTATCAATTAGAAATAAAAATAAACGAAGAAAGCCAGACGTAGACAGAATATTAACAACCTAACCTTCAATGAGTTTCCCAATTCTTCTCGTGTAGCCTTTTCTGGTTTATGCGAAGTAGTGGTCCCATCACCTATCAAACAGAAAAGACTTTAGGATGGCTTTCACGATATAAGTCATGCAAAAAAACTACACCGTAAATTAATGTGTACTAAATCCAACTATGTAACATCTACGTTCCTTGGTTATAGCCATATTCTCAAACAAAAGATGGGTCTTCGATGCCAGATATCCAAGATTAAATTAAGTTTGAATAAGGAAAAGGAAGGAGAAACCACCTCTATATGAAACTTCTTCCTCATTAAGAAACTGAAACCCGACGAACCTTCAACATATAGGAAAAAAAAAACTCAGGATACAGAAATACTAAACTAGCATGTCGGCATCTCAGTCGATGTAGAAGAATAGAGAACAAAGACATTTGCAGCTGAATGCAAGTTAAGATGATTTATCCAAAGCATCAGACAACAATGTTGTGAAAGTGTATAGTCGGCACTAAATGAGTCTTACCAGCCAACACCAAGGAGACCAAACAGGTAAAAGACAGATTCCCAATTAAAGCTTTGGATAATGGGAGGAGCCAAGAGAAGCCTGCGGAGGTAATAATGTTAAGACTGTGCAAGTCTCAAAATTGAGCGTTAGTCTTTGTCGTCAACTAATATAACCTTAGTTAGGATAGTAAGAAATAAGTAACAATGAGAAAATAAAGCCACATACTTGTAACTTTCATAGTTTTAAGAATTACATCAAGAAAACCATACCCCAAAACACTTCCCAAACTCAATCCTCCAAAAACAAAGCCTACCGCCCTTGAGCGCTCCCCAACAGGTATCGTCCTGTACTCAGCAATTGAAGGCACAATCAGGATATGAAAAAAGAATGGGGCTAAAAGCTATAAAGCAATATGCTCAGCCAGAATTTTAAACTTAAAGCGACTAAACGCTTGTATACGTTATTCCAACTTTGGTAAAGAAAGGATCTTCATAAAAAAAAAAAAAAAAAAATTCAGTTCCTGAATATTAACTTGCCCATGGGCCATGGACGAACATGCTACTATCTACGGAAAAGATGGGGTTCAATAGTTTCTCATATCTAGATCGTGAACTAAAGTTAGAAAGACAAGGCAGCAGAAGCAAGTAAACCACATCATCTATATTAAAGTATGAGCACTCTTCAAATTTGCTCCAGATTAATACATGCCTGGCAATAAGGTCCGTCGCAGCTGAGGGGGAAACACCTTCTCCTATTCCCACCTGGAGTTACAAATCTCTGTGTTAAGACAAAGACATAATGTAAGGCTAGAGCAGGGTGGGGGGACAGAGAACGAAAGAGCTTAAGCAAGAGTCTAATCTTAGGATTACTTATGAGTTTAACAAACGAATGTGTTACAAGACCATGACTCTCAAGAAAAAAGAATGAGAGCATAAAAAACAACATAAAGACATAAACATATGGACAGGCTTACCAAAATTCGAGAAAAGATTAAACCGGGCATAAATCCAGCAAGTAATGGAACAAGAGCTGTAGCGAAAGACCATGTAAAGACACCAATCTCGAGCACTTTTCTGATACATTAGACAAAAGAAAGATCAGCTTTGAAAGCAGAAGTGGGAAGAGCCTAAAGAAATGAAAAAGACAAACCTGCCGCCAAAAATCTTGGAAAGCCAACCTCCAGGCAACTGACTCAGGGCATAACCCCAAAAGAAAGATGACTGGACCAGCCCGGCGACAGATGAGCTCCATCCAAACTGGTGTGACATTGGTATTATAGCAATACTCAAGTTCACCTACGATTTTCACCACACAATATACTTAGTCAAAATGATATGGTCCACAATCATCGGTCTATCTATCTCCTTCACAAAATAGGGCAAGAAGAGGAGGAAGAAGAAGAAGAATCCATGTGTTCTTATCCTTACCATAAATCACCTAAAAAAGGATCCTGGCACTAAAATTGAGCTCAAATTCACATGATTCCAATCCTCATATCTTATGAAAGCTACCTAAACCATACCCAGAAATGCCCATACGAGAAAGAAATGAAAATTTGTTCAAATTGAATACCTTGTCCATATTGCAGATAACAAAGGCGAGGGAAGTGGCGCCGATAAGCTTATATCTCTCAGGTACGTTTTTCCATGGAGGCCAATTCTGTTCGAAACCCGTCTCCGAGCTCACAACTTCCGAATCGGAACCCGGATTCGGAAGCTGTGGAAGCTCTTCTTTGATAGGGTCCTTCGGAAGCTTCTTGCTCTCTCTGACTCTTTCAGTACCACTAGCGGAGCACTTAACCCTTGATTTAAGAGGATTGTGGTAGTGATGTTGGGGAAAGAAGCGAGTGGTGATGGTGTAGACGGAGAGTAAAGGTTGCTTGTGTGCGTGGATGGGAGAGGAGAAGAAATGGTTGTGTGGTCTCAAGGGAAGTCTCGCCATTTTTGGTGCCAGAGAAAGAGAGAGAGAGAGAGGAGGAGGAGGAGGAAGAAGAAGAAGAAGTAAAGTTGAGAATGAAGTGAAGAAGAGGGAGAGAGGAGGACACGGTGGAGCAATAGAAGCTTGTGTGGCTCACTGTGGAAGAGAATCGTCTTCAATGTGGGTCCCGCTTAAGTATCAAAATCTTCCCTTTGCGTGACACTCTCTCCTAAACAACTCCATGGTCAGCAACTCAAGCGTCTTTCTTCCAAACATACGGTGAGATAAGATCAATAGACTCGAGAATCTCCCTTAACCAGAGCCTATCAGAAAACTTTGGAAATGAAATGACTTTGTTTTGGAAAAAGAAAAACCAAGTCTTTCCGAAGTTTCAAAAATTAATGCTATCAAAGGTATCTCTTTTTTTCCTGGGCAACTTGGCTTCTTCTGCGTACTAAAATAAGATTATCTTTGGGTTTTGTAACCGAGGACAAAGTCAAGATCGTCTTCTTGTCTATAAGCTCCTTTGACCTCAAAAATATGCTCATCAAACAAAGATTCCTCTCAAATCAGTAGAAACGATGGAGAAGCCAAAGTTCAAGACTGTCCAAGAGGTGATTGCAGCCGGAGAAGGACTACCGGAAAGATATCTCCACACACCCAACGGCGACGGCGAAAGTCAACCTCTTAATGGTTCGGTGCCGGAGATGGATATTCCGGCCATCGATCTCAGTCTTCTCATTTCTTCTTCTGAAGACGGTCGAGAAGAGTTGAGTAAACTTCACTTGGCGCTCTCTACATGGGGCGTTGTTCAGGTTTGATTTAAACCCTTTTAGTGATGATTCAGAACTCTTTTACAAGTTCCGGTGAAATCATGGAATGTTTGAAATCGAAGCAGGTGATGAATCATGGAATCACAGAAGCGTTTCTTGACAAGATTTACGAGCTAACTAAGCAGTTCTTTGCGCTTCCGACCGAAGAAAAACAAAGGGGCGCGAGAGAGATTGGTAGTATCCAAGGATATGGAAACGACATGATTCTGTCGGATGATCAAGTTCTCGATTGGATTGACCGTTTGTATCTCACTACTTACCCTGAAGATCAACGAAAACTTCAATTCTGGCCTGAAATCCCATTTGGCTTCAGGTAAAAATAACCTTATACCTTTGGATTTCAAGAGGATCTTGGTTCATTGACTTTGGTGATTTTGACAATTATTAGATTTCTTCAGGGAAAGTTTACATGAATATACAATAAAGCAACAACAAGTGATTGAAATATTCTTCAAGGCCATGGCTAGATCGTTGGGATTGGAAGAGAATTGCTTTCTAGATATGTATGGAGAGAATGCTACGATGGATACAAGATTCAACATGTATCCTCCATGTCCTAGACCGGACAAGGTTCTTGGAGTTAAGCCGCACGCTGATGGCTCGGCGTTCACGCTTCTCTTACCGGACAAAGATGTCGAAGGGCTTCAATTCCTCAAAGATGACAAGTGGTACAAAGCTCCATTAGTCCCTAATACAATTCTGATTAATGTTGGAGACCAAATTGAGGTAAGGTCTCATGTAGATATGCAAATCGTTTTGAAGATGGCTGTAGATTTTGACATAGATCTCGTTTGTGTTTCAGATAATGAGCAATGGGATATATAAGAGCCCGGTTCATAGAGTGGTGACTAACAGAGAAAAAGAAAGAATATCTGTGGCAACGTTCTGCATTCCTGGTGCAGACAAAGAGATTCAGCCTGCAGATGGGCTTGTGTCTGAGGCAAGACCAAGATTGTACAAAACTGTTAAGAAGTACGTGGAGCTCTACTTTGATTACTATCAACAGGGTCGAAGACCAATCGAAGCTGCACTAATCTAGAAGAAAAATTGGAATGATTTCACAAAATTAGTCTGTTTCTTTCGTTACTTGATATTTTAAAACAGAACATCATTGCTTTGTCTGTTGGAATGTGAGGCTGCATTGTGTTTGTGTAGCAATTCTGAGATAATAAAGAGGTCTAAACACTAAAGTATGAGACAATGTTATTTAGTAGAAGAATTGTAATGTTTTCTTAGAAGTTTTCCACAAATAAATAAAAGATCAAGATCAATGGCCGGTGAAACAGAAAAGTGAATAAAATCGATGACCCTTGGATATTCGAATCTTTTCAAATCGAACATTCCAAAAAAAGACAGTGATTCCGACGGTTGTAATGTATTGTCACCATTCAACAAACCACTCTTCTGTTTTTCTTCCACCCTCCTGTGTCCTCTCCATGTTCCTCTCTTACGCATAAATCTTTCGTCCGATTCCTCTCTCCTCGGAAATTTCCCCTTCTCCGGTGCCGAACCGCCGTGGGAAGGAGATATTTCCGGGAAAGATTCCATTTTTGTTTCTCCTAAAGAACTCCAAAGACTCGTCTCGTAAAATGGCGACGACGGTTGTGTCCATTACAGAGAAAGTGCTAGAACGAGTCTATGGAAACTCCAAATTTACCCTTTCCGTCGCAGGCGGCGGCGACGACGAAAAGCCTCACCGTCATACCCATCACCACATTCACAGGCATTCCTACGACGACAGCGACGATGATGTTTGCTACAGCGATGAGGACGAATCGGCAATGGAGCTTGTCCAGATCGGTGCGGAGAGGACGAAGAACGTCTTGATCCTCATGAGCGACACTGGAGGTGGACACCGTGCCTCTGCTGAAGCCATTCGCGACGCTTTCAAGATCCAATTCGGAGACAAATACAGGGTAAAGAAGAATCTTGAGAGATTGTGGTGTATACTCACCCAAAAAAGAATGTCTTTTTATTTTTAAATTGAGTTGCAGATACAATTTGATATGAATTTGGTGGGTTTTTGACAGATTATCGTGAAGGATGTGTGGAAAGAATACACGGGGTGGCCATTGAATGACATGGAGAGATCATATAAGTTCATGGTGAAGCATGTTCAGCTATGGAAAGTTGCTTTCCACAGCACATCTCCTAAATGGATCCACTCTTGCTATCTAGCAGCCATTGCAGCCTATTATGCCAAGGAAGTAGAGGCGGGTTTAATGGAATATAAGCCTGAGATAATCATAAGTGTTCATCCTCTGATGCAACACATTCCTTTGTGGGTTCTTAAATGGCAAGAGCTACAGAAAAGAGTCCTCTTTGTTACCGTCATTACTGATCTCAACACTTGTCATCCTACTTGGTATATCTTAGCTCCCCGGTTTATAGTTTCTGAGAGATGCTAGCTGCAAACAAATTGATTCTGTTTTTGTTTTTTTGTCTTCTATGGTTTAGGTTTCATCCGGGGGTGAATCGGTGCTATTGCCCGTCTCAAGAAGTGGCGAAAAGGGCGTTGTTTGATGGGCTTGATGAGTCTCAAGTCCGTGTCTTTGGTTTACCTGTGAGGCCATCTTTTGCACGAGCGGTTCTGGTGAAGAATGATCTAAGAAAGGAGCTTGAGATGGATCTAGATCTTCGTGCGGTTCTACTGATGGGAGGAGGGGAAGGTATGGGTCCTGTGAAAGAAACTGCCAAAGCTCTTGAAGAATCGTTGTATGACAGAGAGAACAAGAATCCCATTGGTCAAATGGTTGTTATCTGTGGACGTAACAAGAAATTGGCCTCTGCGTTAGAAGCCGTTGAATGGAAAATTCCTGTCAAGGTATTTACTGTCTATGATCAAAAGAAACCGTTTTGGCATTATTCATATCATAGGTTTCAAGACTCAAGCTTGGATATGATTGACATTTACAGGTTCGAGGATTCGAGACTCAGATGGAGAAATGGATGGGAGCTTGTGACTGCATCATCACAAAAGTAAGAGGAACAGAACAATTTCATATTCACCAAAATGTTCATGAGCTAAATGTCCTACGAATCTTGCAGGCTGGACCAGGAACAATAGCTGAATCGCTGATCCGTTCACTTCCTATCATCCTCAACGATTTTATTCCGGGACAGGTCAGTTGAGATTAGTACTTGATGCAATCAGCTCATATATGTGTAGAAATTCTCATATCAGTTATACTTGCAACCAAACAGGAGAAAGGGAATGTGCCGTATGTAGTGGAGAATGGTGCAGGAGTGTTCACGAGAAGTCCCAAAGAGACAGCGAGGATCGTTGGCGAATGGTTCAGCACAAAGACAGATGAGCTGGAACAAACTTCAGACAACGCACGTAAACTAGCTCAGCCTGAGGCAGTATTCGACATTGTCAAAGACATCGATGAGCTCTCAGAGCAACGAGGTCCTCTTGCTAATGTCGCTTACACTCTTACCTCTTCCTTTGCCAGTTTAGTTTGATGTCTCATGTCTTATATTAACATGTCTCCCTTATTAGTTCCTTGTCTGTTCTTTTTTTCTTTCATTTTTTTATATGATTTGTTTGTTGGTTAAGTTGTATGTTTTATTTTAATAACAAAAGATTCATGATGTCTTAGCATTCTTGGTACCTATCACAAGAAGATTAAGCTTCAAAGAGATTTAATGTGCCGGTAATACCTGTTCATATAGAATATAACACAGAGAACTAGAAGAAATGGAAACACAATGTTATCTCACATTAACTACTGACACATTATTGGTAGATGACACATAAGTTCCAGAGACTTAGGATCTTGAAAGACTGTCATCATCAAAGCCATGGTAAAAACAGAGAACTAACCTTTTTTCTGTAGCAGAAAATCCATCACCCTGTTGAAGCTTTCTCATTCTTCATGATCATATGGAAGGATTTAACTCTATCTTCCCCCACGATCTCTCTAAGAACATCGTCTTCAATCTTCTCAGCTTGCCATAGAGACGGATCTTCAACAAACTCCTCACTGAATATCATACTCGAAACCCATTCTTTCCAAGTCGTCCTCTTGTACTTGTCTTCCTCCAATGTTCCTCTAGACAAGAGCTGATAAACATAAACAATCTTCTGCTGTCCCGGTCTGAACGCACGAGCTATTGCTTGCTTTGTCTTTGAAGGGTTCCATTCCGAGTCGAGCATGATGACTCGTGAAGCCGCTGTTAGACTAATCCCTTCTGCACAAGCTGTGATCGAGGCTAGCAAGACTCTGGATGGGTTTCCTGGATCTTCAAACTTGTCTATCACTCTGCCTCTCTCGAACAGCTCGAGATCTCCGGTTAAGGTCAAAATCTCTTTGCCTCTCTGCCATCTAAAAACGTTCTCAAACAGCTCGATAAACAGACGGATTGGCGCAATGTTGTGACAGAAGATCAAGATTTTCTCCCTTTTGACCACTCGGAACACCATGTTTAGCACAAACATGACTTTAGATCCTTTTTTGGCGTCGTGCTTGAGCTTTTCGATCTCCACAAGTTCTTGCGGGTTGAAGAACTTTGCGCAACAGGTTGAGGTCTTGACCAACCAAGGATGTATAGCTGCCAAGGTGACCAGAAGCTCAAGCTCGAGTGGAAAGCCATGATAAGTCTCCATTACGTTCTGAAGTTTTGTGAGTATGTTATGCTGTATATCCGTTGAGTTCATCAGCAACGTATAGATCTGTAAACCGGGAAGAGCATCGCTAGTTCCACTTCCACTTCCTTCATAGTTATCAATGAAACTATTAGTCATATTCTTCAACATATTGAGACCCTGAAGTCGTTCTTCTCCTACACCCGCATCAATCTTTTTGGCAATATTGTCGAGAAAGAATTTACGAGCTCTGTTCTCGAGCCTGTGAGGCGCCTTATTCACGCCTTGGTTGGCCTTGAATTTCTGATCTAACTCCATTAGAACCTCATGAACAAACTTGGGTCTAGCTAAACACAGCGTGTTGAAGTACTCGCAGAAATTGTTCTGGAACAAAGTACCCGAGAGAAGTACTCTTAAATCGGTACCAACTTTCATCAGGGCCTTGCGTAATCTCGATTTGGTACTCCTCGGGTTATGTCCTTCATCAAGAACAAGAAGACCAGGACTCTCTCTTAGAACTTTAGCCATGTACTTCCGGTGAGCAAACTTCGAGTCTTCCCTCATCAAAGTCAGAAACGAGGTGTAACCCATTACAAGAACGCTAGGATGCGCGTGCCATTTCTGTATTTTCTCTAAGCAGTCAAGAACATGCATAACATCTTGGCTCGGTTTTGGAACTCCCTTGAACTGAACCGTGCTGTTCTGCTTGAATACACAGTAGGTTCTTCGTCCATGGATCAAATGAACCGGAAACGGGATCTCCCATTTGATGAACTCCTTGTACCAAGTATAGAGAGTTGTCTTTGGAGCAAGAATCAAAGGTCTTTTCCCGGGGAATAGCTTCAAGTAGCTTGTGAGGAAAGCAATCATTAGGAAAGTTTTACCAGCTCCAGGAGAATGAGAGATCACACAACCTCCTACGTTATCTGAAGTGGGATCCATTAGCGGTGGTTCCACAGATCCTGCTAGATTTCTCCAGAGAAACTCGAAAGCTCGTTGTTGATGTGTATGTAGTTTTCTCTTAAGCTGAGGTATTAATGCCCAAACGTTGTCGCTTTCTTCAGCTGCAAGTATCTCCGAAGAATCACTTGACATAGTGAAATCTTGGCTTTCAGCTTCTTTGTTGTGGCTCATTTTAGTCTTCAAGTCATCTTCTTCGATTTGCCTAGTCTCTGTAGTCCATTTCTTATGTTCCGCCTATTTAAAACCAAACCATGAAGATCAAATCATTTTACACGCTAGGTAAGTAATATTATGCATTTGTAAATTGTGAGTTTCACTTACAAAAGGTGCTGAAACATATCTTATCTCAGTTCCTACATGACCACATAACCTACAACATAGCCCGATTTCTTCGTTCAGTAAATAATCATGTACACAGCCACCTTTTGCTTTTTGGAAAGCCTCGTTGTCCACTCTTGCCTACAGATTTTGACACACCACAACAACGGAATTAGCACTGGCAAAGGCTTGTATATAGTATTATTAGTATATATGAGATGTTACAAAGAGAAAAGATACCTCGTTGTCGTCTAGAATGTAAGTAGAAGCCAAAGAGAGTTCCATTTCTCTCCATAACACTTGGTTCTCTGAAGTCTCTCCCTCATCATCATCATCATCATCATCATCCTCACTCGAGGTTTCTTCCATCTCCCCGTGCGGTTTAGCTGCGAAGTTCGTCTTCTTTAACTCCTCCCACTGGTCAACAACATTGGTAGACTCGTCCTTGGCTGCAATTGTTGAATCAATATTGTTCATGTACGTATCTATCAGCTTGTTATATGCACCTGCGCTCAATGTTACTTTCTTATAAACCCGTGGCTGCTCTGAATCCTCTGTTTTCTGAGCACCGGACCGCAATGATGATGATGATGATCGGGATATTCTTTTTTGAACTGTCTTCACGTGGTTAGGACCATTCCAACATAGATCAGATTCCATCATCTCTTCCATTTCCGTCCTCTTCTTCCCGTATTTCACGGGCTTACTTCGATACTTGTCAATCTCATCAAAGTAATGGCTTCTTGAGGAACCGCCACTCCCGCCCAAACAGTTAGCGTTAAGACCAAACTGTTCCAACGGTATAGGCTCAGACACCGGAGTGAAAGGAATAATCGAAAGATCTGTTTTCCTCTGTTTTTTACCAAACCTACCTCCTCTGTTTTTCTCCACCAGAACAATCTCTCCTTGTCTACTTCCCGGCCTCACTTCTCGAGGATTACTTCTTTTCCTCTTGATCAAATGCGATAAAGGTACATACAAATCATCATCAGTATTATCACCATCCTCATCGCAACCACCTTCTTCGTCTTCCTCACTCTCCTCCATACTAACGAGAGCCCATTTAGTACCATACCGGTACGGCATCGTCCGCACCCAACCGGCATTGGTATCCGGTTCATAATCACATCCGTAATATCTATCCGGTATCACGTTTCTTCTCTTGGACCGACGCAGTTCCACTACCTCATCTTCTTCCTGGTAGAAATCGGTTTCTTGCTTTAATTCAAGAACTTGAGAAGAATCCTCGACTATTATAATATCCGCTGGATTGAAATGAACCACTTTTGATAACGAAACACCGTCTTCCACTTTGATATTCATCGCAGTCAAAGAGCTGCTAGAGCCTTCTTCATCATCTGTTACAATCTGATAAACCATCTTGTTCTGCACTGTTCTTATGTGAAACACAATGTTTTTCATAACCGACGTAACGACCAGCCACGAAAGATCCGGCAAGAACTTTCCCAACGACAGTCTCGTTTTCATCAGTGATGTACAGTCCTCGGCGAACTTCCATCTGTAGAACTGGTCAGAACTCTGTTCCTTGAAAAACCTTTGAAGAATAGAGATTTGGTTTAGACCGATGAGCACAGAGTCTCTGTTGATTCTTTGTCTCTCCGAACCAATGCAGCCTTGGTCTATATAGATTCTGACATAGATCTTGCAAGAGCATTCAGAGTCATGAGGCTTCCTCTCTATAGAAGCAATCCTTGCGTCGACCCAAACCTAAGCAAGAAACAGATATATACATAGAGCTGACATAAGATTTTGAAGATGCAGAGTTTTTAAAGAAGACTAAAAACCAAAAGTTACATATACCGGTTCCGGGTCATCTTCATAGAGAGGATAGAGAACACAAACATCGATACCAGGCCGGAGGAAACAAGTACAGTCGCTCAAAGTGGCTTTTCTTGATCTGAGACGAAGCCTTTGGAATGGACGGATATCTTCCAACACATAAACGTTCTCTACCAAACGTATTGTCATCTTTCCATCTTCGATCCTTAGATATTCCACAGCCTTCCATGTACCCGAGCTAAAGATCTCGAAAGCTAAACAGTAACAAAAAAAAACGGTATTAAGCCAAAACACTGCTCTGGATTATTCAAAGGAATCCAGTCCACACTTTTGTATTTTAGTCCAACAATTTCTAGTTAATTAGCCTCTATAATTTGCAATTTAAAAAATAACACTCAAATTTCTTCGATAACTTTTAAGTTCACTTCTGTGACTGAGAGGACTTTTATGGTTCGATTTATACATGAAGGAGTGGAAAAGAAGTGCACTAACTTGCACTTAACCAGCAAAGAAGAAAACAGGAAGAAATCGATACAAGGGAATGTAAATAACACTTACGGCATGGATCAAATGGATGCTTCAAATCATAGAAGCGTTTTTTCTTCATCTTTATAGCCTTTTTGTGGATCAGTAAACCAACCTGAAGATCCTGCAATGGCTACACAAGTAAAACCAAAACAAAAAAAAATCAGATACATATCTTCATAGTTTTAGCTCCAAGATCGCCAGAAAAGGAACAGTATCCAACTACAAGATTTTGTGGACCACAAGAATTTTTAACATCCTAGGAAAAAAAACGTTTCATTTAGTGGGACCACAAGAATATAACTAGAGACAAGAGAAGAAGAGTTTGTGCACCGGTGACGTCAATCTAGCAAACCAGTTACTATCCTGGAGTCAGAAAACGTTATGTTATATGCAGGGCTTGCCTGGGCTAAATGCCCGCGTAATGTTGTTGCCCTCTAAGGCAACAACTTTACGCGCCAAAATTTATAAAAGTTTTAGAATTTCAAATAATTGTATATGGTATCGTAACTAGTTATGATAAGTAAGTTATAAGCAGGGCTTGCCTATGTTAAATGCCCACGTAATGTTGTTGCCCTGTAAAACAGCAGCTTTACGCGCCAAAATTTATTGAATTTTTGAAATTTCAAATAATTTTATATGATATCATGATTAATTCTGGTAAATAATTTATATGTAGGGCTTGTCCGGACTAAAGTGCGTACAACAATTTTACGCGCCAAAATTTATTTAAATTTTAAGAGCATCAATTTTAAAATATTTTTTTTGTATTGTGATTAGTTGTGATAAATAAGTTATATGCAGGGCTTGTCTAGAAGGTAGTGGCTAAACCGAACCCAAGCTGACCAAGCATGGGTTCACGGTCCTTATTTTTTTGACCAAGCATGGGTTCATGGTCCTTATTTTTATATTAAAGAATCTGGCTTTCAATTGGCAATACTGAATGTTTCTAATTGATAAATTCACCTTTTTAAGATCTTATCACTATGAATGTGGTAAATAAATTCATAGTGAATACTGAGTATCCACATTCTTATCTATGCCATTCCCTACGGCGGCCGGTGATCAGACAGGTTGCTTTCTGATCTTCTCCATTTGGCCTTTTGAAGTGGGCCTTTGTATGTGGACAAGTTAGTATATATCTGGCAGGTCGGACCAATAGAGTAAAGAAACCGACCACGTAAAACCTAAAGCTAAGAGAAAAAAATGGAAATGAGACACAACAAGAAAATAGACAACACCGAAGGAAATGTCTCCAAAACTGTGTCCAGTTTGGATGATTCTGATAACTGGGGATGTCATCCCTCTTTATGGGAAACATAGAGAAAAAACCAACAATGAAAAGAACTCATAAAAGAAACACAAATCCTAATCACATTTAGACGTTGATTTTTGAACCTCCTCCTCTTCCTTTTTTTTTGACATCAACCTCTTTCTTCTTTTGGGAGTAAACACTTCATGGCTTTCGTCCTTGCGTTGTTGGTGCTGATGATAATACATCGGCTTAGGTTAATAATCGTTACTACTTGTGAAATCTGAATCAAGACAGATACTCAAGAGTAGCTAAGAGGACCAGATACAATACAAACAAGTAGACACGGATGTTAATATCTATTTTCTACATAGCCGCAGACTGCGAACTAATATGAAGAATTTTTTTTGAGAACAGAACAGAGTACTGTTCTGCTTTCATGAGCTGTACTGATTCTTTGCAGACTAGGACCAAATGTGGAAACCAGTAGTGTTCAATCTTATGCTTGTAGTTGTTGACTAAGAAAAAGCAAAGTGCATGCATGACGCATGTTATGCTTGATGTTACTATCAAAATTTTGTTAGAATTGTGTAATGCTCTATCTTTCCAAATCACTTCACATTTCGTCCATGGACAAAATCAAGACCAAAATCTAATCTCAAATGCACCAAGGGAAAAGAACTATGTAAATATATAGCAAAATATGATCATCACCAATGATCTGACTAAATCCACATCGAACGCACGAAAAGACTCAAACTTTATGTTTAAGGATCAAAAAGTCCACTAGTGTTTTTTTTTTTTTTTTGGTCAAAGAGAACCCAGATATTTTCCTGGAACAGGGAGCCGAAAGGGGAAGAAAAATATTAAATCGGTCACTGAAGCATCATCGTTATCACTACATTTGCTACTAAAAAGGTCAAAAATAAAAGAGACAGTAACAAATCCCCTAGTGATCAACAGAATCCAGATATCTAATTTTGGAAAGAAAAAAAAAAGTGGAGGTGATGATTTTGGGTCTGATTCAAAAGCAAACAAATGATGTCATAATAATAAACTAAAAACCAAAAAGCATATAGCCCAAGCAGCAACAAGAGTCGGCAGCAAACAGACAAAATTCAGACTGAAGCCAAAAAAAATGCAACGATGATCAGAGAACAGAATCAGTGAGTGACCTTGGTAACAAAAAAACCAGGATTGTGCAGTAAAATGGTGAGGCAGAGCGATGATTACTATTCTATGATCCAATGTCACAAAAGAGGTAAAGAAAGATGATCAAAAGGATATTAGTGTATAAAAAAAAGACGGAGACTTCAATACCACACTGGTTATTTCAGAATCTTGGCCACTGTCAATGTGTTATATATTTTCTTTTAATATTAAAATCTCTTTTCTTTTGTTTGTTTGCATGAATATGTATACCAAACAAAGAAAAAGAGAGTTTGAGAAACGGATAATTATAAATTAGAGAGTCCACGAGCGGAGTGTTGACAAACATACCGAGCGAGCGGAGAGGTTTAAGGAGAGAGGGTAGTTCGGTAATTACGGCTGGTTGTTTCTTTAATGGAGGGGAAAATAAACGGCTGTGATTTGCTCTGTTTTGATTTTGTTAGATAGATTTTCCGACACGAGATAGTCAAGCTACCCGAACAGTGGGGTCCACGCTGGAGATATCGCGGTAACTCTTTGACAGCGAGCGTTCTAGAAAGTAGGACCTACCCTGCAATAATGAAAAGTTATGCAAGGGGCAGAAAGCTAGATAGGTCTAAAAAGTGGGTCTCATTCGTAAATATTTTTCTTCTGGTTTGACCCTAACTTAATTTATCAAATTTATGACACGGATACAAGAGTGTAACAATTATAATGTCGACACACGTCAATACACCACCTGAAAATAAAATAAGTGAATAAATTTACCTTTTATAACCAAAAGAAATTTCAGAGAAAAATCTTTCTAACCAATAATATTTTGGAGCATAGCCTTCTTTTTCTTTCTATTTGTTTGTAAATTTACGTTTCATTTTTCCCAAATATATCTCTAATTACTGTTTATATGGAAATTATAAAATATGTTTCTATAGATGTAGGTAATCATTAGCGTAGAAACAAACAAAAAATCCTTGAAAATAATACTAATGTACAGCTCATTTTTTCTCACTCTCTTAAATTTTCCTATTTCTCCAATAAAATAATTATTAAATAACTGTATTAATTTTAGTAATTACTTTTTCCTAATAAAATTACGGGAATCCATCTTGTTTTTAGTGAAACAGAAATTAATCTTAAGGAAAAAAGGTGAAAAAGTAGAACATTTTCCTTGGTTTAGACATTTTTCTTTCCATATAAATAAAAGCCATATATGATATACCAAGTCTTTTGTGAGCTCATATATTATTTATGAATTCACTGTTCGTTATACGAGTATTGTGAGAATCCAACAAACTACATGAAGAAGTAGTTCTACCAGTTGCACCCAGCAATCAGAAAACCTTGAGGTAATGAATTTTTTTGAAATCTAAATTGTATATCATTACTGTGCCGCGGCCCGGATCACCCATGTTAATCAAAAACAAAATTGTATATATTTTTTTTTTTTCAAATTGTTGACTTCTTTTTTGTTTTGATAAAGTACAAGCTTGAAACAATACAACAGTATTGTTTGATAACGAATGAATTGATTCATTGTTAGCCCCTCCCAAAATTGTTATAAGAATGATTCATTTTGGTTCAGTATAATAATTTTCTTCAGTTTTTAAGTTGAGCAAGCTTTTTTCAGATTATGTCTCGAGGGCAAATTTCATTCTCTGCCACTGTCTCTGTAGACATGAATTTATTGGACTTTCGCAGGAGGTATCTTCCAAATTTTAATACATTTCTAATTTGTTCTCTCTGTTTTTGTATTTAAACCTTTGTATGTTTAGGTCCCAATCCTTGCTAGTATTTTTTTTTGGGATAGATGCTGCTTGTTGTTGGCACAAAGTCAAATTCCTGATGGTCCCCAAAACTTTATTTCTCTTTGCCGTTGTGTTGTGTTTACAATCAAACAACTAGAATTTTAAGTGAACAACGACATTTGATAAGAACTTTATGGTGATAATCCTGCTTTAATCAGACATTTTAAAGCCATAAACTTAGATTGTTAGAGCATGTTCAATGCTAGATCTTCAAATGGAATGCTTAAACAATATTTAATAATAAATTTAAAATTAAAAGAAAGAAAAACTATTTTAGTTCAGGAAAGAGAAAAAATGTTTCGGTCGTGAGAGAGAGAAAATGTTTTGATTTCACACTTATGATCTTCTAATTATTTGACACTTGTCCACAAGCATCGCATCTTAAAACGCTAGAACAAGCGTCGATTCTCACTTCAATTAATTATTTACATTTATTTTTTTTAAAAAATACCTCAGAATCCATTTTAAGCGTCCCCATTGAATGTGCTCTTAGAAACCGTTACGCTAATTCTCACACTTTCAAACATTTGAGTTTAAAGAATAGAAGCAAAAATTCTAACACGACATTCTAGGCTCTAACATGATGGATCATATATGCTGTCTTATAGTGAAATTCAGAAGACGACATTTCGACCAAAGAAGAAGAAGAAGAATAATCCATTTGGGAGCAAGGTTAGTGGATTTGGAATTTGGGATCATATGGTTTGAATAATATATGGTTCTGTTTTCACATTTTAAAGCTGTAAGATTCTAACAAATTTAAGGGTTCTCAGCTTGAAAAGCTCATCACAGCGACTCTCGGGAGTGGCAACCTCAGAGAAGCCGTGAGACTACCTCCTGGTGAAGACATTAACGAGTGGTTGGCCATTAACAGTTAAGACACTGTCATTATATTTAACCCATAGCTCATGACTCTTATCCATACTTCAAGTATTTTTTCTTAATTTATCTTTGTGTGTTTGGTTTGTTTTAGCCATAGATTTCTACAACCAAGTAAACGTTTTGTACGCTACTCTCGAAGAGTTCTGCACACCCACCACTTGCCCAATCATGAACGCTGGATCCAGGTTCATTTTTGCCTCTAATCCATTAATTCAAATTAAACCTGAGTTGATCATATAAACTTAGGTCTTATTTTTTTGGATTTTCATTTTTGCATGCAGATATGAGTATAGATGGGCAGATGGGATTACAATAACGAAGCCAATATGGGTTTCAGCTCCTGAATACGTTGAGTATCTCATGAATTGGATTGAAACTCAGATCGATGACGAAGGCATCTTTCCGCAAAAACTTGGTAGCTGCCAAGCTAAATTCATTCGTTTTTAAACATCTTTAATTAACTAAAAAATTGGTTTTGAGTTGTAACACTTGTTTATTTTTCTATCATATTCAGGAGCACCATTCCCACCAAACTTTGAGGATTTTGTGAAGCTGATTTTGAAAAGGCTGTTTCGGGTTTATGGACACATCTATCATTCTCACTTTCAGAAGATTGTGAATCTCAAGGAAGAAGCTCATCTCAACACTTGCTTCAAACACTTTATCCTCTTCATATCTGTGAGTCGATAAATCTTCTCTGGATCATGTTGATGAGTTTTTTTTGGGCATGTTCTAATAGTTGATGGTAAAACATTTCTATAACGACTTGTTTTTTTGCAACATGCAGGAGTACCAGTTGATTGATAAAGCAGACTTGGATCCTCTGAAAGATCTCGTGGAAAAGATTTTGAAACCATAGAAACTCTAAGTTTTCAGGAAAAGAACAGGTTTGAGATATCTACCCAAGAACATCCTAAAGGAGTTAATGATTATGTTATCACTTGGTCTTTTACAGAAGGAATATATGTAACGTAAAAGAAAGTAAACTATCTTGTGATGTTTCAAACTTTCAATCAATAAATTGGATCAACATTATATAACAAAATTATGTCTTTAATGATGTCAAAAGGCTGTTTTTTTTTTTTCACTTTCTGAAGAACTTCTTACCGTTTCACTTTAAAAAAAATAGTTTTCCCGGATTTTTATGTTGTTTTGGGTTGATATTCGGAGCAAAACATATAAGAAAAATATATTATTTTCAAACCCTATTAGAAGAGTGAAGAACAAACTATAGTTCCTTCATTGCAACGATACAGAAACCAGCAAAATATTTGAATGACTAAAAAGAAAGAAAGAAAGAGATGGATACACTCCTCAGGGCTGGATAGCATCAAACCACACCAATGCCATATTATGATGAACTGCCTTCTTCACGAGTGAGTAAGAAGCTGAAACCTGCGTTTTCACGGATCAACTGAGGAGGCTCAACATTGTTTACATCCAATTGTTGCACTGACATTGATATATCCTCCACCGCGAATGGAATGCTGCGTTTTGATTGATGCCCTCGCGTTACTGGAGAAATGGCAATGGTACAAAAAAGAAATTTGACAACAAAAAAGAGTTTCACAGGTTACCTCGAGTCATCGTCCAAAAGGAAAGAGCTGCTTACGGCATTGTTCGAGTCCTCTGTCATAATAACCCTCATCTTTGCACTAACCTGTGGTTTTGGAAAGAACACTTTATTAATACATATCTAGACAAAAGAGAGCTTAGTTATTTACAAGTGAAACATACATCTGAAGAAACACTATGAGTGCCATATTTGTCATCCCAGTACATTGTGCTGATCCTGTATAGCTGCTGTATACTTAGCACCTGAACCAAAAAAAAGAAGCAATTTCAGTGTTCAGCTCACGAGGGGAAAGAGAGTAGCGATTCAAGAAATGGATTTCATCTAGTAATACCGGACAGAGTTCTCTTGTTATTTTGTCCAAAGTCTTTTCCTGCTTTTGAGGAATGACCTGAACAACGAGCCAAAAACAAAAAAGCTCACACATAACCAAACAATGTAATGGAAGCATAAAAGGAGGGGCTTAGCATTAAACGAAGAACTATACCAGGAAAGCAACTGCCTGCCTGATATGCCTCAACTCATCCCAAGCTGAGCCAGCATACTGTAATAAAGTTGACGAAACAATTTAATCAAAACAGGCAATGTCAATTAGGCAAAGTTGATGAAACAACAACTTACTTCATCAGTTGCCTCTATACACCACAGTTTTAGTTCAGCCAAACCTGCTTCAACGTACTTCCCATTGCTGAATGAGCAACACTCACGACGTAGAAGAAGACTGCAGAGTTTTATTACAGAGAAAAATTTTCTGTCAACCAAGGAAAAACTGGTTGATGGGTAAACAAAAGAAAAGATTACAAATGGAAACATGCCTGTTGAGAAGCTGAACATTGATGAAGGAGAATATCTGTGTGAATACTTTGCTGACTAAGAATGGTGGAACCTTTATCATGTAAACATAGAATGTAATCAACATAGCTAAACAAGTTTTTAAGATTTACTTTTGTTAATTTCTAATGAAAGTTCAGACTCACGTTGTTTGCTTTCATTAGATTCAAGTAAGTGTTCAGGCTTTTCCTAATACTTTGCCAATGGGCAATCAGAGCTTGTTGAACAACAGCATTTTCTTGTGCTCTCCCTTTCACCAAACTTGCCATTGACGTCCTTGGTGCCTGTATCATGTAAACATATATGCCCTTACATAGTAATTCGATAAATTAATGAAATTTCAGCTAAGAACATCAGCATATCAGTGAAACTGTATGAACACAAAAGCAACAAAGGAATTACCTGTATACATAACGCAAGAAGAGGAGAGATATCTTTCTTAAGATTATCTCTGATCATTCCATATATCTTCTCGAGGAATGCAGTAAGCTGCTGCTTGAAAAGTAGTGCGGGATACTTTGCTTCAACTTGCCTCAAGCCGTCAAGCTTGGTGAGCTCTTGTCTATTCAGAGAAGAGAGTCCAGCACTTTGAGGAGATCCCCTTAATCTCTGTTTAAGTTTTTAAAGAGGTACACAAGATGAATTGAAGCTGCGCACCAGTAGAGATTAAAAAAGAAAGAAAAACAAATAGATTTGCGTCTTACTTGTGTTAGAAGAAATAGAAAAACAAATAGGGATGATGATGTTGTTCTTCGTCTCTGTGGTGTTAAACTAGCTGCTCCAGTTGCTTTGAGTGTGCGTTGCAGAAGCAACAATAGTGTGGCTGAATTAGATAACCAGTACGCCAAAACCTCATTATTATCTGGGACCTGTACGGGAGACAACATTTTCAATTGGTATTCAGATATTTGTCAGCATAAATGCTTCTGAAGTCTGAACAATGAAGTAAGAAAAAACCAACTTACTTCAATGGCTGAAGCTATTGTTTGAATGATACGGTTAAAGACGCTAGTTCTTTCGACTTCAAATGATCTCCAGTGAAGTAGACATTTGTAAATGACACATGCAGCAACAGGCTTGCCCCCAGCATATCCAAGGTTTTGTGAGATGCACTTGACTAGTAGTTCCTGATGTTCCTGAGTGACACCAAGGTAAAAAAAAAAAACAGAGTGCAATATTTAGAGAAAAATTACATGAACAAACAAGCACTTTTGTATTATATGTATCACAAAAAGAACATAAGTTATTATGTTCTTGGCACCAGTAAATGCATTCATAGTATATATACATAGAGGATGATCTAGTAAGTTAAAACACTCATACAAACCTTGATTGCCTCCATCTCTGATGTCAATGAATTGATTTTTTCAGTATCCTCAACCAATACTGGAGTGTCTTTCATGAATGGAGGTGATTTTTCAATAGCTTTCCTTGCAGCCTCCCCTTCTCTAATCACAGCAGCATTTGATTCTTCAACTTGGAACTGCGTTTCCTGCATAGCTTCCTGTTACATTTATAGGCGATAAGTAATTGAATGAAACTAGAAAGTATCCAAGTCTTATTTAAATGTGCAAAACTTAATCAGAAAAATCACTTCTGCTTACCGGTGTAGACATTGTTTTCTCTTCTAGTCTGAAGCAGAAGCAAAACCAACATGAAAACGTCCAGAACAGAAAGAAAAAAAAACAGTTAAATAATTGTTTATTCAACTAACAAGGATAACAATGATTAGTAAGGGTCTCTTTGCACAGCATCGCAATTTGTTAGCAAAACGAAACTATCAAAAGAATATAATGGTTAAGTTCAACTTTGTTTGAACAATGGAGCAAGAAAGAATCAACTTACTTTAATGGCCAAAACTATTGTTTGAAATGATACGGTCAGAGACGCTGGTTTCTACATGTATCTACTTATACAAATTTCATCTAAAAAAGATGATATAAATTAGATTTTCATTTAAAGAAAAAAATCTAAAAAAATTGGATATCAAAATCTATACTTCTAGTAAAATGGAAACTTTTCTAATATTATATAGTTACATGTAATCATTTATGCTATTTTTAATTAATTTTAAGTAACAGTTTTTGTAATTAGACCAAAAAACAAAATAACTAGATATTGTTTGCTTTTATAAACTAAATTTTCAGAAACAATTTATTTGTAATCTAACCAATATAGATTTACATTTTTTTTTTCAGATTTATCAAGTAAATTACACATATCTCTAAGTACTGTTGATATAGTCTATTTTAGAAATGAAAAATTTGAAAAATATGTATATTAATTTTTCTTATTTTCCTATTTGTTCTAAAAATGAAATACTGAAAAGTATTTCCATTCCCACAATTCTATTTGTTTAAAAACTACATGCTGTTTTTGTTATCTTTTCGAGAAAAAACTACTTGCGTTTTATTTAATAATAAGCACCATTTACAGTCACAGACTCACTCACCAGATTTCTTGACTACAAACAATTTCGATCATGGCGCAAACGCAGATGATTCGACGGAAGATTCAATCTAAGCTGATTTCGCTGAAATCGATGACTTTACCCAAATTAGCGAACGCTTTTACGGAGATATTTACGACGACACATCAGTTCATTAAGGCCGTCGCCGTGAGTATGCGCCGATCCAGGAAACTCAAAATCGTAAGTTGAATCCTCTTTTGTATTTCCATTTACAAATGTTTAGTTTACCAATAACGAAAGTTTTTCTCTTTGGATGTTTTTAATCCTTTAGATGTATTTCTTTCAGAATTTATGAAACGAGAGTTGCTATCAATGTCTTTGAGTTAATTTTTTTTTTTTTTTTTTTTAAATTCAAACTCTGTGAAGGATGATTGTCAAATTTCAATTCAAGTTTCAAAAGACTTTAACGAAAACGACAAAGAGGTGGTGATGGCCAATACTTTGCCATTACTCTCTTTAAACACGTTTTTTAAGGGTTGACTGTTGAAAGGACTCCTCTCAGAAGTCTATGGTCTTTTGTGACCATTTTTCAACGAGTTTTTAGATCGCATTAAACTGTCCCCACGACTTCTTTGATGCAATTGTATCTTGAGTTTGCTTCTTCTTAACCTTAAACTTGTTTCCATTTCTTGGTTTCGAGTTGAAGCAGAACCGATCTTTCCCTTTGTATAAGCGACATGAAGCTGTCTCTTTCACTTGCTTTCACTGCTCTCATGCTGCTTGAAGTTATCACCGTGGTCTTTGCTCAATCCAGGTTTTCAAATGAGACTGACAAGAAAGCTTTGCTTGAGTTCAAGTCTCAAGTTGCTGAAAACAAGAGAGAGGTTTTGGCCTCATGGAATAACTCTTCTCCGGTCTGCAATTGGATTGGGGTTACATGTGGCCACAAACAAGAAAGGGTTATAAGTCTGGACCTTGGTGGATTCAAATTGGCCGGTGTGATCTCTCCATCCATTGGTAATCTCTCGTTTCTCAGATTACTTAATCTTGCAGACAACTCTTTTGGAAGTACCATCCCTCAAGAAGTGGGAATGCTATTTAGGCTTCAGTACTTGAACATGAGCTTTAATCTTCTCGAAGGAAGGATCCCGTCTAGTCTTTCTAACTGCTCTCGACTTTCGACCCTTGATTTATCGTCAAACCATCTTGGACACAATGTTCCTTCAGAACTAGGTTCACTTTCTAAGCTTGTCATTTTGTATCTTAATATTAACAACCTTACCGGAAGGTTTCCTGCCTCTTTTGGAAACTTGACGTCACTTCAGGAGCTTGACTTTGCATATAACCATATGAAAGGAGAGATTCCAGACGATGTAGCTAGATTGACTCAAATGGTGTTTTTCCAAATATCACAGAATAGTTTTTCAGGTGTTTTTCCTCCTGCGTTACACAACATCTCCTCGCTTGAGTCTCTATCCCTAGCTGGCAATAGCTTTTCAGGTGAACTTAGAGCTGATTTTGGTGATCTTCTTCCAAACCTAAGAACGCTTCTTTTGGGAGACAATCATTTCACCGGAGCTGTTCCCATTACAATTGCGAATATTTCAAGCCTTGGAAGGTTTGATATCTCATCTAATAACCTGACAGGAAGGATCCCTTTGAATTTTGGAAAATTACGTAATCTGTGGTGGTTAGGGATTGGTAGTAACTCTCTGGGAACTAACTCGTTCAGTGATCTTGAGTTTATTGGGTCTTTGGCTAACTGCACTCAGTTAGAGTTCTTAGATGCTGGTTACAACAAACTTCGAGGTGAGCTGCCTGCCTCCATAGCCAATCTGTCCACCAAATTGACTAGCCTGTCCCTTGGAGGAAATCTTATCTCTGGAACAATTCCTCGTGACATCGGGAATCTCATAAGCCTGCAAAAACTCAGTTTAGAAACAAATATGTTGACAGGAGAACTTCCAGTCTCTTTCGGGAAGCTTTTGGAAATGCGGATGCTGGATCTGTATTCAAATGCAATATCGGGGGAGGTACCTTCTTATTTTGGCAACATGACTGAGTTGCAAAAGATCCATTTGAACAGCAATAGTTTCCAAGGAAGAATCCCTCAGAGTCTTGGACGTTGTCGAAACTTGCTAGACCTATGGATTGATGCAAATAGGTTGAATGGGACTATACCTCGGGAAATACTGCAAATTCCATCCCTTGCTTACTTGGATTTGTCAAGCAATTTCTTGACCGGCCCTTTTCCAGAACAAGTTGGAGAGTTAGAGCTTCTTGTTGGACTAGGTGTTTCGAACAACAAATTATCAGGACACATCCCACAAACTCTAGGGAATTGTCTCTCGCTGGAGTTTCTCTATCTGCAAGGAAATTCGTTTGAAGGAGCCATTCCAGATATAAGTCGGTTGGTAAGCCTAAAAAATGTTGACTTCTCCAATAACAATCTCTCTGGCCCCATACCTCGATATCTGGCCAAATTTCCTTTGCTGCAAAAGCTGAATCTCTCTATGAATAACTTCGAGGGAATGGTGCCAAAAACAGGAGTGTTTCGAAATGCTACATCAGTTTCTGTATTTGGAAACAAAAATCTTTGCGGAGGCATCACAGAAATGCAATTAAAGTCATGCATTCTGCTCGCATCACCAAGGCCGAGAAAGCCTTTGTCAGTCAGAAAGAAAATTGCCGTTGGTATTGGTATAGGTATAGCCTCACTTTTCTTATTCGTAATTCTGGCTTTTCTGTGTTGGTTGAAAAAGAGGAGAAAGAGCAAGAACAATGCAAGTGGTAGTAACCCATCAGATTCTACTTCTGTGGGGTTGTGCTATGAGAAGATAAGTTATAAAGAGCTTTATAATGCAACAAATGGCTTCTCATCAAGCAATCTGATTGGTTCAGGCAACTTTGGTAATGTGTATAAAGGATTGCTTGGCCGCGATGATAAACTTGTCGCTGTTAAAGTTCTGAACCTCCTGAAGCATGGAGCAACGAAAAGTTTTATGGCGGAATGTGAAACCTTCAAGGGTATAAGGCATCGTAACCTTGTAAAACTGATAACGCTTTGTTCAAGCCTCGATTCCAAAGGAAACGAATTCAGAGCTCTGGTCTATGAGTTTATGCCAAAAGGAAGTCTGGATATGTGGCTTCATCCAGAAGATTTGGAAAGGGCAAACGAGCACTCGAGAAGTTTAACAGTTTTAGAGAAACTCAACATCGCAATAGATGTGGCATCCGCTCTAGAGTATCTGCATGTTCATTGTCATGACCCTGTAGCTCACTGTGATCTTAAGCCAAGCAACGTTCTTCTGGATGATGATCTGACTGCTCATGTTAGTGACTTTGGTTTGGCTCGGCTCCTCTATAAATTTGATCGAGAGTCCTTCCTAAATCATTTTAGTTCTGCCGGTGTCAGAGGCACCATTGGCTATGCCGCACCAGGTAAATAAGTATCTAATTGCAAAAAGTATTGTTTAACTGTGAATGATTTAATCTCATTTTCTGCTGTTGCTTTAAAATATGTACAGAATATGGTTTGGGAGGCCAACCATCAATACAAGGAGATGTGTACAGCTTTGGAATTCTACTTTTGGAGATGTTCACTGGGAAAAAACCGACAGACGGATCATTTGCAGGCGATTATAACCTCCACAGCTACACAAAGTTAATATTTTCGAGAGATGATGAGAAGGATGGTGGAGGCAGCAACGCCATTGATGAGTGGTTGAGACTGGTTTTGCAGGTGGGAATAAGGTGTTCTGAAGAATATCCGAGGGATAGGGTGAGAATGGCTGAAGCTGTACGCGAGCTAATCTCAATCAGATCTAAATTCTTCAGTTTCAAGAAGACTATTACAGAGCTAAGTCCTCGGGATGCTGTGAAAACTTCTCCTCAGGAATGGATGTTAAATCCAGCCATGCATACAATCTAGACAAAACTGGTGGAACGCAATCACCATCTCGAGCACTTCTGGGGACGCAGTGAATGTGTCTCTGCTTCTGCTTCATCGAAACAGAACAATGTTAGGAGAAGAGTCGTATATTTACAATGTCTCTGTAGCCAGAGTCATTTTCACTTATTAGCTCTTTTTCTGCCAACATTGTCTTCTCCACAAGTGTCTGTATATTTAGGATCAGAGAAATGCAACTAAAGCCATGCATTGCTCAAGCCTAGGTTCCGGAATCCGATGGAAATGATTTCAGAGATCTGGTATATGAGTTCACACCAAGAGGAAGTCTGTTTATGTGGCTGCAGCCGAGTACTAATGTAACCTTAGGTACTAGTAATGTGAGTATGACGTTTTTGTATAGAATATTACGTTTCAGTCCTGTGATTGTAGACTATTCAAGAGGCTATTAATAAACTATTTTCATCCATTCGGTTAAAATCAAATGGACGATACAAGAAACCAACTAACAAATTACAATCATATGAACCAATATTATTTGATGTGCAACCTATATATATATATATATATAATTTTAACAAATAAAATAAAAACCTATATTAATAGTGATAACAAACTCTAGTTTCTTCATTACAAATTCCCAAAAGGGTTGGTTATAAAGACTCACCCAAACCAACAAATACATGATTGACTAAAACAAAAATACTCTCCTCCCCTCTCTGGGCAGGAAAGCATCAAACACACCTACGCGGCTACGCCTTTCTACGGAAAAAAGGAAAACGGAAAACAAATAACCCCTGCGAGTTGCCATAACCACAGGGATGCAAAGAATGAAATAAACTCGGCCTTTCCACAAATACAACGGCCAGAGACTGAACCCCCAAATCAAGAAGAAGAAAGAATGGAAAAAAGAAAAGAAGATAATATACACAAAATGCCCATACGAATGCAGTGGCTCACACGATGTATTTATGTATATGCAGCAGAAACAATCGTACGTGGTGGTCCATACCGAGCTCCCAGAGGACACTTATGATGCACTGCCTTCTTTACGTGTGAGTAAGAATCCGAAACCCGAGTTTTCACGGATCAGTTGAGGAGGTTCAATGTCATTTACATCCACTTGTTGCATTGACTTTGATATGTCTTCCACCGTGAATGGAATACTGCATTTTGGTTCATGCCTTGGGTTAGTTGAGAAATGGGAAGTGTACAGATGAGACTGAACACATATTTATTATTTCAGCTTACCTCGAGTCATCGTCCAAAAGGAAAGAGCTGCTTACGGCATTGTTCGAGTCCTCTGTCATCATAACCCTCATATTTGCAATAACCTGTGGTTTTGGAAAGAACACTATCAATAAATATCTAAACAAAAGAGAGCTTAGTTATATACAAGTGAAACATACATCTGAAGAAACACTATGAGTGCCATATTTGTCATCCCAGTACATTGTGCTGATTCTGTATAGCTGCTGTATACTTAACACCTGAGAACCAGAAAAGCAATTTTAATGTTCAGGTCACGAGGGAAAAAGAGTAACGATTCAAGGGATGGATCTCATCGAGTAGAAGAGAGTAATACCGGACATAGTTCTCTTGTTATTTCATCCAAGGTCTTTTTCGGCTTTTGATGAATAACCTGAACAAAGAGCCAAAACAAGCAAAGTTCGCATGCAAACAATGTAATGGAATCATAAAAGGAGTGCCTTAGCATTCGACTAAGAATTATACCAGGAAACCAACTGCCTGCCTGATATGCCTCAACTCATCCCAAGCTGAGCCAGCATACTGTAATCAAATGAAACAATTTAATCAACAGTTGTGTAAATGTTTAAGCAATTAATAGGAAAAAAGTGACAACATCGTGGCTCACTTCATCAGTTGCCTCTACACACCACTGCTCTAATTCAGCCAAACCTGCTTTCACGTACTCCCCGTTGCTGAATGAGCAACACTCACGACGTAGAAGAAGACTGCACAAATTTTATCACAGAGAAATCTTTCTGTGAACCATGGAAACACTGGTTTAAGAGAAAACAAAAGGAGAGATTAAAAGTGAAACATGCCTGTTGAAAAGCTGAACATTGATGAAGGAGAATATCTGTGTGAATACTTTGCGGACTAAGAAGGGTGCAGCCTGTATCATGTAAACATAGAATGTAATCAACATTCCTAAATTTTTTTTTAAGTTTTACTTTTGTTAATTTCTAATGAAAGTACAAACTCACGTTGTTTGCTTTCATTAGATTCAAGTAAGTGTTCAGGCTTTTCCTAATACTTTGCCAATGGGCAATCAGAGCTTGTTGAGCAACAGCATTTGCTTGTGCTCTCCCTTTCACCAAACTTGCCCTTGATGTCCTTGGTGCCTGTATCATGTAAATATGCCCTTACATAACTCGATAAATTAATGAAATTTAAGCTAAAAAGCATCAGCATATCACTGAAACTGTATGAAACAAAAGCAACAAGAAAATTACCTGTATACATAGCCCAAGAAGAGGAGAGATCTCTTTCTTAAGATTATCTCTGATCATTCCATATATCTTCTCGAGGAATGCAGTAAGCTGCTGCTTGAAAAGTAGTGCGGGATACTTTGCTTCAACTTGCCTCAAGTCGTCAAGCTTGGTGAGCCCTTGTCTATTCAGAAAAGAGAGTCCAGCACTTTGAGGAGATCCCCTTAATCCCTATTTAAGTTTTCAAAGAGTTACACAAGATGAATTGAAGCTGCGCACCAGTAGCGATTAAAAAAAAAAAAAAAAAAGAAAAACAAATAGATATGCGTCTTACTTGTGACATCCTTCCAAATAGGGATGCTGATGTTGTTCTTCGTCTCTGTGGTGTTAAACTAGCTGCTCCTGTTGCTTTGAGTGTGCGTTGCAGAAGCAACAATAGTGTGGCTGAATTAGATAACCAGTACGCCAAAACCTCATTATTATCTGGGACCTGTACGGAAGACAACATTTTCAATTGGTATTCAGAAATTTGTCACCGTTTGGGCTTTAAAACATGTTGAATTGGTACATAAATGCTTCTGAAGTCTGAACAATGAAGTAAGAAAAAAACCAACTTACTTCAATGGATGAAGCTATTGTTTGAATGATACGGTCAAAGACGCTAGTTCTTTCGACTTCAAATGATCTCCAGTGAAGGAGACATTTGTAAATGACACATGCAGCAACAGGCTTGCCCCCAGCATATCCAAGGTTTTGTGATATACACTTGACTAGTAGATCTTGGTTTTCCTAAATAACGCAAAGATTATAACACAGGTTAAGAGAAAAGCAGAGTGCAGTACTGCAAGAAATGGGGTCCCACCATTACAATTAGAATAAGAAATTCATGTATGTGATACACGCAGAGTAGTTACCTGCTGCTTTTCATTCAAATATTTCTGTGGTTTCTCCTCAGACTCTGGTTCCCGTACAGCAAGAGCCAAGTCCTGTGACAAATGTAGACGACAAGCAATTGAAGCAACAAGGAACCTACAAATATAACCAGAAAAGAATCACGTCCTCTTACCGGTGTAGTCTTTGTTTCTCCATTAAGAAGATTTCCATTCTCTGGAGTTCTCTGAACATTGAGAAGAAAAGATTACATGAACAAACAGGATTTTTGTATTAATAGGTAAAGAAGAAAAAGAATTCATATGTTGTTGGCACCGGTAAAAGCATTGTTTTTGATCGTGTCGCCATAGTTCTGCTGGTTGGAGATATAGCAAGTGCCTGTTGACGGAGAACTTGAATCTCTGACTCTGAATTGGAAAGCTTCTCTTCTAGTCTGAAATCCGAAGCAAAATCAACATGTAAAAGTCCAGAACAGAAGAAACTGATATAATCAACCAATAAGGATTACAATGACTAGTAAGAGTCTCTTTGCAGCATCAAAACTTGTAAGAAAAATGAAACAGTAAATGTATATAGGCTAAGTTCAACAAACATGTGGAATCAGAATATCTCTGTCTTTGGTTGATTCTATATCGATATACTTTACAAACCTTTGAACCGATTCATGAAGCTGATCTGCTTTTCTTGTAGCATTTTCAAGTTCTACGGCCAGCTCTGAATTTCTAGCCTCTGCCTCTGAGAAAGCTTTTCTCAAGCCTTCTGCGGCTTCTCGTTCAGACTGAAGTGAAGCCTGTAAGAAAATATGATTTCAACTACCACATCCAAATTACGAGACTAAGTGCCTTATCCACATATATCTACTTAATTTTGATACTGAATATATAAAAGATGATCTGATAAGTTGAAGACAGATACCTTAAGGGCCTCCACCTCTGATGTTAATGAATTGATTTTTTCAGTATCCTCAACCAATACCGGAGTCTCCTTAATGACTGGAGGTGCATCTTCAATAGCTTTCCTTGCAGCCTCCCGTTCTCTAATAACAGCAGCGTTTGCTTCTTCAACTTGCAACCGCATGGCCTGCAAAGCCTCTTGTTGTTTTGCATATTCTTGGGCTTTTGCTTCTTCCAGCTCGGTCTGTATTACCACGGATTATCAATAACAGTGTAAAGAAAGCTTGATATCATGCCAGTGTATGGAAATGAACTTACTCTCTGTCGCTTTTCTAGTTGTAAACGCCATGTTAATTCCTCAACACGCTTTTCAAGTTTGTCTTTCGCCTCTCTAAGGGCTCCTGTGTCTCGTGCAGCCTGATTCAATTAATTGTAAAGGTAAGAACCTGGTTCGTTTCATGAAGTCGTGAACATTAAGAGAACCATTTTAAAAAAACGAACCATCTTTAGTGTCCTCAATTCTTTCCGTGCAACTCTGCTCCTCCAGCCACATTGTGAAGAAAGGGCAGCTTTCTGGAGTTTCTTGTAGTATGAATGTGCGAGGTGACTACGAAGACGAGCCTAAATTTGAAAAGGAAGAACTATCAGTTTTGCACATCGATGATCTATCGTCTCTTATTTTCTCAGTTAGGTAAAAAAGAATGACTCTAAAAGGATTCTTAGTAATGACCTGAATAATAGTAGCCGCCTTCATTTGCTTTCTGAATCTGAACTCGTTGCGAGCAACCATTCCCCTTAGTGCTGTTTGAACTGCTATTGCTGATTGTCTAATACTTAAATACGACTCTCTGGCAATTTGTCTTCTGAAACTCTTCTGAATCTTCACCGCTGCTGCCTGGCGTCGCATTTCCTCATAAAGGTTGCACGCCAATTTGCCTTGCATTCAATATAAAGGTTTTAGAAGCTCACTCCCCCAAAAGTAATACAATCCGCTAAGAGAAAAGGCACACAAACACTAAATGTATTTCACAATTGCTTGACAATCCAAATAACAAGGAACTAATTTCATAGATACACATTGAAACAAGACAACTTCTCAATCCAATATGCTGGGCAACTACAACAATAGCAACAAAAGAGAAGAGCAATCTTTTGCAATAGATTAGGGAAGAAGATACCTCGGCAGTTGGACTGCAATACGATAGCAGCTCCACGTAGAGCACGGAATT